TTGTAATATAAATATTATAACATTAATGTAGGTATATAGACATAGTATCTAATATTTCATACGCGTTAAAAAATAATAACAATGTTATTAAAAGAGAAAATAAACATAAAACCAACAGGAGGGGAGGGGTATGGAAAATAATAACTGATTTTTTTTTTGACGATCCGTCGCCAATGCACAGCATGGGCAGTAGTAAGTAGGGGTGGGGATAAAAAAAAGGTAATTTATCAAGTTGTCCGGGTGGAAACATGCAAATGTCTGTTCAATAAAATGAAATAATAATAATATATAGATCTACATGGGGTGAATTATCTACACGTGTACGTCATACGCAGGCAAAAAAAAAATCTAAAAAAACAAAAAAAATTATTTATGTAACTTTTTTTTTAGCTTCGATGCGATTTTTTTTTTTGTCACGACCGATTGAACAAAAGGTCATTAAAAAGCTTGGCGACAGAACAGAGCGATTGGGATTTATTAGACAATAAATCATTGCCAAAAGTTAAGCACTGTTCGGTTAGAGATTTATTTAGAAAGCTTTTCACTCTGATTTCTACATGTTGTACACTTTCAACTCATCGTCGGATCAATTGCAGAAGTTGGCCAAAAAAAATTACTATGTTTTAAAATATACAAGCAGAGTATTTTATTGTAAATGGAAAAAACTAATTCTTTCTAGTATACCACAGCAAATAGTATTCAGATTTTAAACGTTCAACAATAAGTTTGTTACATTAGTAATTGTATAAATTGTATTAACCTCTTCATGCATGTAGGTATCGTATGATACCATAACATAATACATGTATTGATAAACTACATAATATGTTTTTTTGGTCCGTAACTACATAAAAGTATCACTTGTGTACATTTGATAAGAATCATATCACTTTATTTGTTACTAGGTTTATGTATAAGAAATAAAACAAATCCAAATGTGATAAACTCCGATAATGATAAAGTACACATTTTACCGGTGGAACTAATGATTTTTCATTATTATACATTCAAATTACAATTTGGAAAAATTATGTACAACACATAATATGTTATAGAGAAGTGTTTTTTTATTAAGTTTTGGTTCTTTAGTAGTTTAGGAGTTGTATAATTTACGTAAATATACAAGGTATCAAACGATACCACCGTGCAAAAAAGGTGCATATTACTTACCTATTACTGTATAACAACTTTTTTTCTAAAAATTTATTTTTTTAAATTTTGTTTTAGTATATAATTATGAATAATTTACAAGATGAAGAAATTGAATGTTTCTTGGATTTTGATATACCCTCCGGCTCAGAAGTTAGTTTTTGTGATAGTGATGACAATGACAGTGATATTAATGTTGAAAATTAAAAAAACAAAAAAAGTTATGACCAATTTAGTATCGAAAAATTGAATCTAGCTTATCATGACATTAGTGACGTAAATGATGATATAAGGTTTGTGAATGATGATAATATAAGTGATGGTATTATTATAACTGTTGATAAACAAAATAATTGCAATATATCTGACATTGAAACGATTTGAACGATAGCAAAACAACCTGTAGTAACTAAGTCATTAGGTCCATCTACATCAGCAGGACCATCTGGGTTTAAGGAGTTTCAAACAATATGTTAATACCTCTGTTATTAATAATATATTTTATTATTAATTATTTAAATTTAAAATAAAATATTCTTGTAGACTATATAAAACGCGAGTAGCATGTTTATTATTTATTTTATAACTGTATTCATAATATGAGCATTCTTAATGTTTTTATGTGAAATAAGAACAAATCTTGAAAAGTTAAAAAAAATTATAATTGTTGCAGACTTGCATAGAAGTATGATGCCGGGGGTTGTTACCCTCGGTAACAAAGTAAGGGTTGACCGTGGAATTTTTTTATTATTTTTTTCAGTCTTTTCAGCCGAATATCCGTATAAATTAATTTTTTCTTTTAAATTTAAAAATTCAGTGCATGAGAGGTTAAATATCGAAAAAGACAGTATTTTCAGTCTTAAGGTGTAAATCTTACGGTATAAAACTATGTATGAGTTATACACAGCAAACATTGCAGAAAGCAATACCATTTCGGGCTTCTAAGAGTTTTTATTGAGCCAATTTGAAATTTACACGTTCTACGTAAAATTATATAAGTTTTGGAAAAAATATTAGAAAAATGCACAAAATTTGGGCAACGTGATAAAACCAAATTTTTGTTTTATAAACTCATTTTGAACGACTTTCTGTTGCTCGGTAAAATAGAAAAATATTTGCTCAGAAAGTTGAGACTATTTTGCATAAGAAACTATTTTTTTTTCGAAGGCCTAAGATACTAGTTATAATATGAACAACCCCTCCAATATGCTCTGTTCCCTTTGTGAGCGACCGAACTATAATGGCTTTTTTTTTTATCATTGCATTCGACTTTTTAAACTTAAATTGTAAAATATGTAACATTTGATGAAGTTTTCGAATAAGAATAATTTAGACCAATTTTCTACAATTATATTTGATATTTATTACGTAGCATAACGATTGTGGGAAAAATGTGAAATTTTTATAAAGAGTCGTACAATCGGTGGCACTTGTTGACTGTTATAATTTGTATAGTTTTATAAATTTTCTATACATCTGCGACGGCTGACAGTATAAATAAAAAAATATTCGTCTTGGTAGATTGACGCTACAATATATATTTACCGGGTGAACTGTGAAATTTGGTACCTACATTTTTTTTTTTTGTGACATAATTAATTGTATGTAATTTTTGTAATTGTACGTAATTGACTGATTACAATGGACTTGCGGGCTCCAGCCTGATTTAAAGTACCTAAAATTATATTACAACTGCCATTTGTGTTTAATATATTGAGTTCCTCGCCTAATGTACGAATCAATAATTAAAATATGTTGCTTGCTATAGTATTTGGCGTCAACACTTCATGTAACAGCATTATCCCTGATAGTTATTTTTCCAACTAAAATACGTTTGTTTTTGTCTAAACCTGGGTAGCGGTTACAGGTTAATGGTTGTATTAATCAATAATCATCAAACGTGTTTGTAAGACTTAGGTTGAATTAAAAACTCATAAAAACTATGATACCAAATCAATAAATAATTATTATTTTTATTATAATAAATAATATAATAATGTAGGTTATTTCAACATAAATTTTAGTCATTGGTGTGTAGTTTCGGGTATCGGTAAAAAATGGTGTCGGCCCATCCCTTATATGTATATCATCTTGGAAATAACTGAAAAAAAATAACCTACGTCCAAACATTTTATTTTGACGTTTCCATTACATAACAGATTGGTAAAACTAAATCCTTGTTAAGCAAACTTGTATGTACATGAAAACTTTGTAGTTTACTCGGCTATGAAAATATTCATAACATTTCTTAAATAAAGAATATTTTGCCAATAAAACCTATTTGAAACTTTTTTTATTTTTATTACATAGAGTAAAGATTGTGGGAAAACAGTGCAATTTTTAATAAAGAGTCGAGAAACGTTAACGATTGGCTAACAACGGCACGTCTTATAGAATTTAGATCATTGAAACCCTTTTAAATTACTTACCTACTCTAATCTATCTATACTGGCATTTCAAATGTTACTTGAATCATCCATAAACTCTCTTAGTAAAAACGTTTCAAATGTTTTGCTACCTATTAATACAGAATGAGAATGGTAAAGTACTGTCAACATAATAGTAAGGTCGTGAATTTCAAGTTACAATAACATACACAACATATTCAGGAGTAATTACCGGCCTCTCTTAGATACATTCTTTACTAAACTTTGTTAGGGTGTGTGCAATGTATTAACCTACCCTACTATTTTTACTGCTTCCAATTTCCATCCCCACAAAACATGATGAATAGATTGGCCCTTAAAACCCGTGCATTTAAATAATAAAAAAACCTCGGTTGGTCCACCCAGAAAAATATATAACGTGGACAAATTACATAGGTCCTAAGATTTTAATGTGTACATTGCCTGTAATTTGTACACGAGTCTTATAGTTTAATATTTGTTTTATGACTATATTATCTACGTATTAAAAAATAAAACATTTGTGATTACACATAAATGTAATATAGTATCCACTCGATAGCGCATAGGACGTGTATAAAAAGTGTGTAAAAGAAATTTCACCTCTTTTATTGTAATTCTAAGCGTTTTTATGGGGAACCCATTTTGAAATTTACACATGTTGTGCAAAATTAAATCAGCTTTCTGAAAAAAAAACCTTAGAAATGTTTTGAAAATTTGGGAAACTCGAAAGAATCAACTTTTGTAAATTCAATTTTAATGATTTTATGTTTTACTCGAAAAATAAATCGATATTTTTTCAGAAAGCTGAGATTATTTTTCTTAAGAAATTGATTTTTAATATCATTTTTCTGTTGATGACCGTAGAATATATGAAAAAAATGATATTTATATTTTTTGGCCAAAATAATCTACAAAATTTTGAAAACACTCTTTTCATTGTAACAGACATGCAGTGTGATTTTTCAAAAAAATAAACCGAGAGGGGACTAACTCCAATCGTTTGTTTGTACTTGGTGTTTTGATCCGTTTATGATTTTCAGTTAAAACAATTTCTATTGGCCTGTGAACCCCCAACCCTTTGCAATCAACTTTTGAAACTTAAATTGTAACATTAATGTAACATTTAATAACGTTAATACATAATATATAACGTTATATGTTAACGTTAGATTCTCGGCTGCGCTTCGAGGCTAAAACTGGTATTTTTGGCCGCGCCGATATATGCTGACGACATCTGTAGGCGTGCTGCAGCGTCCGCGGCTTCGACGACGGGGACGCCATCTGTACGCGGCACGCGTCGTGCCGGGCAAACGTATAAAAGTTCATGGTCGGGAGGTGGCGGCGGCGGCGGCGACTGCGGCAGCAGCGGGACAATCAATAACGGTGCGGCACCCTTTCGCGCGGCGGTGTCGATGCGTGCCGACGCCGAAGTTGGCCGAGACGCGCTGTCTTCCGCCTACGCGCTGCACACTCGCACGTCGGAGCAACCCAGCCCGCCGCACCCCGAGCAGATTATTGTCGTCGACGCAACACTAAAGCTACCCCGCGCGTTACACAACGATTCGTGCACGTGCGTGGGCGCCACATTTTTCCTCAATTGACCGAGTGTTTTTTTTTTTTTTTTTTAAATAATTACAATTATTAACCTAACACGCCAACGCGAGAGTCTCGACCCTTCGGCCAGTGTTTAGATGTAGGCAGTGCTCGGTCGTCGTGTACACGCCAGCGTCGTCGTCCGGATAACCGCGCAGGATACGTAACGTTTGGGTCAGGATATTGATGGCGTTGGCCACAACCGCGGTGGCCGTCTGGTTTTCGTCGTGATGGACCATTTGGATATCGGCGGTGGCTGCGGCACACGACGAGTGCGCAACACGATCACATGTCACACGACGTAAGTGGCCGCGGTGCTGGTGATCGCAGCAGCTCGGCTCGCTCTACGGGTAAGCGGCGGCCGCTGCGGGGTACGGTGTCCCGGTACCGGAGCGGGCTCTTCCACAACCGTTGGACGTGACAATTATGGTCGTGGCCGCAACCATGGCCAGCATGGATGACCACGAGAGGAAGATTGTCGTCGAGTTCTGTCAACTGCTCGAGCAGTCTAAGCAGTTATTCAACGGACTCCGGTGAGTCACCCTCGCTTACACGTCCCACGCGATCGATACCCATCGTCGCTGCACCCTGATAATTTCATTATAATAATATACTCTCCTTAGACCAGTCCTTATATTATTATTATCGCCACACTAATAACGACACTAGCATAACGTTCAAAACTTTAAGGGTCAACAACAATAGTGTAATTTATTTTTTTAAAACAAAAAAAAAACAATAAAATACATTAAATTATTGGCCAAAGAAACTGATAAGCTGTAACGGGAAATCAGGGCAGCAATCTTTTACATATAATTTTATCATTAACCCCGTTACAAATGTCACCAGCCCGCCTTTACTTTTTATCTACTTCTTTCGCCCAAAAATTTCTATTACTTCTTTAATAGGCTGAATCGATTTTACACGAATTGTACATTAATAGAACATATATTTTGGAAATGTACTTTTTTTTTACATACCAAGTATTTTTTCCGTCATGTTACAAAAAGTCGAACCTATTTACTCAAAACATATATAATTAAGTTTGTGATTGGTCCTTCGTTGGTGGCAATAAAATCACATTTAACGGTACTTTGACTTCAGTGTGGTCGGTAAATTATCATTTTCATTGCCAAACAGGACAGTGTCTGACTATAGACGACACCTTTAATTGCTAAACAAGGTGTTCCTCTAGTCGATCAGTTTCCATCAGTTAGCATGTCGGAAATTGTGGTTTGTTTAAATTAATTAAAATATAATCCATTCCGTCAGAAAAAAATTGTAAAACCACTATTTAAATGCGTTCAATATTAAGTCAATATTCTAATGTTAGCGTTTCAACCGTCTAGATTGTTCTGACTGATAACATGTTAACATAATACCTATTAGTGTTGATGACGGATCTAATCCTGTCTATGGACCGTTTTACTTGAGATAAAAACACAAATAGAAATAAATAAATGTTTAATTTTGTTTTATGCAGAGACCTTCCACAATGCGGTCAAAAAATTTGGCAAGGATATTTTGGCAAAACTTTCGACGTTTATACCAAACTTTGGAAGTTTCAACAGCAACACAGGTAAATGGGTTTTATTGTACCTATATTTCGTGACAATAATATAATATTATGGTAAACCGATACGATGACAACGTGATACCAGTATTAAATAACGCTGAAATATAATCGGTGAACTGAAATGTATTTGAATTATTACAATTTTGTTCATAGGCAAGTGCTGGATACAAAGTACGGTCTAAAGCGATGGCAAATAGGCGAAATAGCCTCGAAAATAGGTCAACTGTATTATCATTATTAGTGAGTATAAACATATTGTAATTATCGATTGTTTACCACACATTATTATACTGTCGGTGAAATAAAGAGCAAAAAAAACAACAATTTAACAAATTCACAATGCTTTAGACGACACTGACATATTTCATTAGAAATTCGGCTTTGTCCGCGCCTTAAGTGCTTTCCTAGATTTCAGATATAAATATTAATATGATTTTCTTTCATTTATTATTTCCTTTGGAACTATAGTAAAACCCACGCCGGGAGAGGTATCAGTTCTGTTTTCAAGGGTAAAACTCAAAAGGGTATACCGGAGCACGTCTCTAAAGCGTGACAGGCTTACGGTTTGCGAAATTCGTGAAATCCATTAAACTGCGATCGCCCTGTCAGATTGGCAACTAATTGAAAACAGCCCTTTCAACCGCGATTTTAAAATACAATTATATTTTGCAGTCTCAGGACGAGCGACACGAATAATTTGAACGAAGCGTATTCGTTTTATTCGGCCATCAGGGGAAGACAATACTACTCCAGGGTGTCGCAGGAAGACAGGTGCCACCTTAAGCACATAAGCTCAGATTGTTGTAAACGTGAAATGTATACATGTGTGTCCCATTGCAGGTCGGACCTAATGGTGAAAAAACTCAGATACTACGCCAGGTTCATTGTGGTGTGTCTGTTGCTCAGGCGGGTTGGAGCCATCCGAGAACTGTTGGCCGTAAGTTTATCGTTTATAATCCCGACCGATCAAAACCCTTTTAGTCACAAATGTTGTTTTAAAAGTAATCGATTATCATTATTTTTGTCATGTATCAAAATGTTGTCCATTCAGGTCAACCAAATGTGTCAATCAGAATCATTAATATGCTTCAATAGTAAAGGTAAAATATTAATTACTCCCTGGCTTGTCCCACGGTCTATGGCTGACCCTTTCAAGACCGCTACTGGCATAGTGATGGTCGTTAAAAAATAACCAAGTCAATTACAATTCCCATGAAAATTCTCACTCCCCCTGGAATTGGGCTTATTAGTTTATTGGATAAATTAAAAAAAACACTTTGACGGCCTTTTTTAATTTTGACCTTTAAAGTGATGAGAAAAGGACGATTGAATTTTTAAATAAAAAAATTTACTAAAAGTGACCAATTTTTGGGAAATGATCCATTAATTGAAGCCCTTTGAAAGCACAATCAGCACCGCCGTGCAAGAAAAAACGCAGAATTTTATCCATACATCTAGGTGGATAGGTTCTCCTCTCTCAAATAACTTGATTGGCAGGCGCCAAAGATGCCTGAAATTCCAACAGAATTTAGACTATAAATTCACAAGCGGTTCGAGTGTTAACATAGGCAGGAAGACGCCTTTTGAGGAGGTCAGTCTCAATCGATCTTCGTCGGTGGCGTTTTGATAAAATGGAAATTTAACCTAGATGGACACCTTCGCTTCTGAACTGTTATTTTCTCTTGGCCGGCTATATTGCTTAAGTATAATCGAACGGCCGTTTGTTTCAGGAACTCGACAAGCAAATCGTTGACTACACAAGCACTTATGAACCGGACGACCAATTGGAATGGTCTTTAGTGCTGGAAGAGATCAAAACGTTCGTAAAAGCCGACAGCATTGTGAACGTGTTACACGCCGACCAGAGCAGCGTTATACTCTCGCACAGGTAAAACCTTATAATTTTCCATTTTCCCTGAAAGTCCATTGCATTTCCCGTCCTTTCCTTCGCACTACTTTTGTCCGTCTCGTCGGTCTGTTGTAAGTCAAACGTTTCCGTGTTCGTTTCCCGAATGATACCTTACAACTACAGCTGTGATGACATGGCGGGTGGTACAAATAATAAGCGTTAACGCATGGTTCGTTTTCCTTATGGCACTTTGTCACGCAACCACAGTAATGATAAACTTTATTATATTTATTTTTTAACCGCTTCACACACAGATTGACACCGCTGACAACGCCTCCGGTGGAAAAGTCTACCATGATGAATCTCTCGTTGCAAGAGATTATACTCATAGGAAACGCCTCGGAACAGGTGAGCGATCCATTATGAAGCGTTGAATACTGAATGGTTTTGATTTTTTTTTCGTTATTGTTATGTACAGGTAAAATTTAGCGAAATGACCATCGACATGTTTCGCATGATGCAAACGTTGGAACGAGAGAAAAACCGAGAAGAAACGAATCACGTATCCGATCCACCTTCGAGAGCGTCTTTTGTGAGTGTTTCTCTATCTACTCTCCACACGTTGGCGTCTTTATTTACAATATGTATCCACATTTTCTTAAGTCTACCTCTACCTATTCAATGCCTAACAATCACTCCCATACGTCATTGCTGACTTAACCGAGGGATTATAACGTTTTTATTTCGTTCTAAATGACACAATTTATTCTGATTCTCTATATGACCTTTCTCTAAAGTTTCACTACTAAACTTTGAATTTGTATTTGCTTATTCTCAATCAAAAGTCGCCAATATACCATTACACACGTTTCTGGGACTCTTTTATTTCTCTAAACAGCTCACAATACCTCTTTGCTTTGCAGCTTGTCATAAATGTATACGTTTATATCAGTTTTAATTGAATTTGTGTAAGTCATACACCGAAAAAATACAACAATGAAAATAAACGAATCGTGGAAACTTTAAAAACGAATGTAAAGTTTTAAAAATAGTAATAAAGTATTCAGAAACAAAATATTACTACAGCTATTGCATTTTATGCTATTCAGCGTTTGCCTGTGAATTAACTCTCATTGGCGTGCATAAAACATTAAACGTCGGTTTCCAGTCACTTTATGTGCTAGGTTAAAAAAAAAAAAGTTAACAAGAACTCGGTCGCTGTCTTTGCGTGCCGGTAATAACTATGGAGCTGCTAATATATTTTATTTATTATTTTTTTTAGGAAAAAAGCTATTCGATAACTAGCAACAAAACGCTAGCGTATCCAATGATGGCGAATCATGACGTTAATAGTTCCAGGAGAGAAAATCCCCACAAATATATCTTGTACAAACCGACCATTACTCAAATAATGATGTTTTTAGCTACAGGTTTGCAAATGATACCTGCTACTAATACCTATTCATCTATATGTGTGTTAGCCGATGTTCAAGCGATTTGATTTTCTCTTTTAAGGTTTCAAAGAGCTTCCTGCCAATGGCGTGCTGCTCATGTACGTGTCGGCGGACGGATGCTTTCAGACCTCGAAACATGTTAACGACTGTAAGTTCATAGGCCGAAGCTTCCAAGTATACTTATACGAGCTTTTCTTATACAAACGGGTTGCTAACGCTTTTGTAATTGCGATTTTTCAGTGGGTTATGACTGCGGTGGTATTATGGCCAGTAGCAAACGAGAAATGGAACTGACGAACAAAAAAGGAGTGCACGTTAAAGAAATCCATTGGTGAGCTATTATTTTTTTATGCCCCCTAATGGTTAGTATTTATTTTTTACTTGTTCCTTCTTTGTCTACAGTCTGTATCCCGGAGACCTTTACCCGTTCACCAGAAAACCGTTGTTCGTCATCATCGATTCGGACAACAGCTTTGCCTTCCAGTACATTCCTCGGTATTTCGGTCATCCGTTCGTCGTGCTCATGTCTCCACAAGAGCTACCCGATAAACTGCACGGTAAGGAGAGTATAGAATACTCGACAGCAATGCCAATTACTAATGCATCGGTTGGTTTATCTTTATTACAGAACAACTACAGCACAACGGCAGTCTGTTTACGCTGTTCTTGCACAGTCCTCTGACGGCGTTTTGTCTTATTTGCAACATCTTAACGGTGAAAATGCACTTGTGGGAAAGGGCCAATTCGTACGTGGACAGATTCATCACGGAGGCCAGTCGACTGTTCACCAGCAAAGTTAAACCAGGTAAATCAAACGGTCTTTGTTGTTGTTGTACCACCGCCGGTATTGCACAATTAATACACGTGTAAAACGTTCAATTGTTTCAGACGTATCGTACATACAGTTCTTCGGTGACGATTTCCTAAGGCTTCTATTGTTGCGCTATGTTTTTTGTCACGTCGTCTTACGACACCATCGGGCTTTCAACGTAAGTCGGTTGTTATTTAGAAAAATCGTATGACAAGATGCCAAGATGCATTGTACTGAGGCAGTTCTAAAAAAAAAATAAGTATCCCGATAAGGTTTAGGTATTTTCAAAATCTTAAAATTACGAATTTTTCTAAATTAAATAAAAATACAGATTACAAAAATTACAAATTAACGATCGTTTGATCTATACAAAAGAGTAAAGACTAATCACAAAGTTTAATTAAAGCTAAAAACGTTGAAACGTGATAAGGCTAGTGTTTATATCGAGGCTAGTGTTTATGGTCTTATCACTTGCATATCATAATAATATCACAGAACAAACATAAAGGAAACTGTTCAATTTTTTTCATGGGCACTTACGTGATGAGATAAAATCATGTCCGACATCTTGAATATGATCGAGAAATGGGCAGTGCTGATAGATGTAGGGAAATTCTTATTTTTCGTTCATTCTGGCTAAAATGTTCATTGGACAAACGCGGGAAAATGCGACGACATTGTTGTCGGCGTATGACATTTAGTAAATGAACAGTGTAGCCATAAGTCATAGAAAAATTAAAAACGATGAAATATCTGCGCTCTGGCGTCACTGCCCATTTCTCAATATGTCATTCTTATCACGATATTTAATTGATTCTCTACTATAAGTAAACAATATATTATCAGCTGACTATAGATTTGTGTTCAGTCATGCAAGAGAACGGATGAACCAAGTAGATGTGTCAATTAGGATTTGCTATAGTTGAAAAGATGCTAACCTAACCGTTTTGTTTTAACGTGTAATGTTTGTTCAGGGAGAACAATATCTTCCGCGGTGTCAGCCACCTTTACCATTGGCGAGCTTTTTGGAAGAAATTTCCCTGAAGAAATATGTCAGAGAATTGGCAAAACATTTGGACGTCTTGTCGCATTTCGAAAACTTCGAATGATCCTCCACGACCAGTATCAGAATCGATTACCGGTCGTTCACTTCTTCCAGTATCAAAATAATTACTATTATTATTATTGTTATTTGATTATTATTATTATTATTATATTATATTAGTTATGTAGAAAATACCGGAACATGTTTATTGTATAAAAAAAAACCGTACAATATATATAATAATATTATGTACAAAGTCGGATAAAAATGTATGTATAAAATCCGCTGCCATGTTGATCCGGCTTTTGACCAAACGTACTTATAACGACGGTGATTTCTTCGATTAGTGTTATTGTTTCGTTCTAATTTGTACAATATTATTCTTGAGACCACACAGACAACCCACTGCGGTAGACCTGTGTCTTGAGACGGTTCCAAATTTCCGGTCAGCTCGGTAATGGCCAAAAATTATTAGCGTTTAAACATTTGTATTTGTTATCTTCGTTATAATTTTTATGTAAACTGTAATAAAATATTATAAGTACCAACTGTAATGTATTCAAGTTGGATAAAAAAAAAAAAAAATTTCACGACAAATCGTATCTTATCAAAACATTCTTATTTTTTTTTGTTTTCTTCCAATTTCATCAGTTTGTTTCCAAATCTTCCATTTTATAATATGTAATGAATATAAGTACTTATTAAAACAAATTACACAAAAATAATGTTTAGAAAAGTACAGTATTTTTTATAAAATTCGTCGATATATTTGTATTAATTATATATAATATATATATACTATTATTATTATAATGTTTAAGTGTCGTCAAAATTTGGTTGAGAAAAAAGAACCAAGATTTCTTATACCTATAATTCGTTTTTTTATTATTTCTTTCTACTTATTATTATTACCATTATTGTTGTTATAATTTCTGTACATTTAATTTAGCCCCTGTATTTTTCAAATAATATATGTTATATTTCAGAGAGTCGAGTATTAATTATAGTCGTATGAATATTATTATTTATATAATAAAAATAATGATAATAATAACTGTGTAAAACGATTTTGTTCATTAAGATGTATTATTTGTGTCTAGTGAAAATTGTTTTATCTATATTATAATTGTACAGAAAATCGCAATGCGTTTATAAAACGATTTTTATTAATTATTGACGTGTTGTAATTACTTGTGAGTTGCACCAGATATTACAGGTCAGGTCTTGGTAAATTATTCAACTCAGCAGATAAAATACAAACAACATTTAATTGTTTAATAACAAGCAACAACCAAGAGAGTAGCTAAGTGATGTCATAGGTGTGTCTTGGGTCATTTTTTATCTGTCCTCTTTTAAAAACTATTTTATTATAAATGAAAAACCCTTACTTCTCCTCATACCGAAACATAACCTAGTCGGTTACAAGGTTCTTGATAGGGGTTTTAAGCACCCGGTTAACGTTAACATAATATTACCTTTTCATAGATATTTTTGAAGTATGGTAACACATCGTCTGGTCGAATTTCAATATTATAAGACTCAGGGTGTATCACACCTGACCTTGGGATTAAACTTGAAAACAAAAACAATAATATAATTAATTAATCTTTTTTTTTATGATGTTTTCGGGTGACATGATGAATATGTAATAACGCGAAAGATGTGGGACATCCGATGATTATACGACAAACCCGAAAGGAAGAGTTTATTTTTAATTGGCGATTTTGGAGCATTTCCAAAAAGTGTTAAGTGCGGCGGGTGAGCGACCAAAAAACCGGCGGCCAGCGTGCACACACAAACTGTTTTCCGCATTCGTACCGCGAGATTGTCAGTCGGAGTTCAAAACAAACCCACAGAATATTGTACACTTTGAAGAAACGCATTTGGAAGGAAAAAATTGTGTACTTAAATGGGCGAGTGTCTTCCTGTCCCGCCGCCGGCCTAGGTCTATTTATGTAACACCTTTTTCGTCAAAATGGAGGAAGGTCCAGGTCGGTATGATATTCATATTATAATATTTTAGTAGTCACACATTATCCAATAAGTAATTTTCGTGACCATAGTGACGTGCCATGCGTATTATTACTGTATTGTTTTATCTTTTTAAATTGATATTTCGAGGGAAAAAAAAGCATAGGTATACAGTACTGCTTGAAATAGATAATAGATGCATTTATAATGCCAATTGATTTTACAATAATCAAATAAGATAAATATTTAAATTTTGATAGTGTATAGTGTTAAGTTTGATGGTTTTACTGAAACTGGGAAATGTCGCTGATTGTAATAATAAGATGTTTAAACAAAACTATGTTAATAGTTAATACTCGTTAGGTATGATAATATGTATGTACCTACAGCTATTTATCTTAATTATTAATATTCCTTGACAGAGTCAAACGCTCATCACGGTTTGGACTGTCTTGTGCCCGAAGTGGAGCTGTCGTCGATAGGCGAGTCGACACCAGGCAGATCCACGCCAGGCAGATCGACACCAGGTAGGTCACCCGGCAGTCGACACCGACCAAATCGATTTCGAACCGATCTACACCGTATAGATCACGGTCGTGGTAGATCGCCGTCGGACAGGTCGTCCTCGCCGAGTAAATCGCCGTCGGGCAGATCGACGCCAGGTAGATCGACGACACCCGAACCGCCGCCCGTACCGCCAGCGACTTATCATTGGGAAGAAGTGAGGAGACAACGAATGACCGGAGGTTACCCTTGGACTCACCTGAACAAGCCACCTTATGACGAAAACACATGGGACGAGTACGAAAGGCAAGTGCTTCGTATGGTCAAAGTGTAATCAGTAAAACCAATTTGTTTTTTTTATCAATAAATCTCATATCTACCCGTAGCAATAAGTTGAAATGTAAACGCCTAAGTCTTCAATATTAATGGTGAATATGAAATCATCATTGAGATCATTTACTATAAATATTTACAATGTTTGTAATGCGCGTTGTCGAATACAGCCAAACGATAACAATAATAACAATGATCGTTTGCAATTGCTATAATAAAATCAAAATGCACTCAAATCAAATTTCTGGTGCGTTTTTATTATTATTATCGATTTAAACATTTTTAATTAAAACAATTATGATTATAGGACAGACAATTTGTGTGCATTTATAATTGGACAGTTAACAAAGTCGCTGATACACTATTTTTTTTTCTTTAGAACTGTTTACACATATTTCTATACAATTCTTTGTTCTCAACTGTAAGATGATAATCAGTTTGTATTTGGTCATCAAAGAACTTGTGTTTGCTTATAAAGTAATATTGAGTTAACCGTCTGCAAATAAATGATCAAATAATTTATTATGGTTCTAAAAATATACACATATTTTTTGTTAGAACCAAATAACAACGTCCTAATCAAAACGCGTTTAATGCACTGTAATCTTTATAAAAAAAAAAGGTATTCATACATCCTTTTTATGAACGCACTGAATGTAAATATTGAATTCATTTTATTTTTACTCATTTTCCAATGTTTTAATCGGGTCAAGAACCATAAAACAACGATTTATTCGAGTAAACTCGATCGTCTGATAACAATTTTTTTTTTTATTTGACGACTTAATTGTGATGTCATTTTCTCTTGTAGGTCACTAACGACGGGTGATTAATACTCATTACCAACCGTACTCGATACTTATTAGATAGATAAACACATATATTTTAATAGAAAAAAGCAAAATCTTATTATGTCACACAATCGAAGACAATAGATGTACAAATCGATGGATGAGATTAACGAACATGATCTCAGTTTTGACAAACAATCTTTCAAGTTTCTATACTACATATCGGCCATTAGCATGTGTTTGCGCGGGGTGCAAAGACATCTGGGCGGTTTTTTCCATATTGCTCGGTGTAATTAATTAGTTTGCGCAGAACCACGAATAGCTCATTTTTTTTTTTTGCCTGGTAAATATGTCCGTGGGTCAGCCAAAATAATGTTGTTTTGGCAACCGTTTACAGATGACAATTTCGATTTCTGTAGGAAAAAAAAAATCGTGCGCGATTGTGTGGCGCGTGGTCGAGCTCTCTGGCGTTAGTATAGGCGACAATGCAATAATAATAAATGAACATTTCTCAGTGTAGTCTAGAAATCTAATGCGGTCGCCGGTCTCTCGCGCCGCATTCGCCTTTTCCCGGGACATGCCATCAGCTGAAAATATTCGCAATCGTTGTCTTGAGTCTGTAAACCGTAATACCAACGCTAGACAATAATATGGGGTGAGTACAACAGTTGTTACATATGTAATTTAAAACAATTCATTTATATTCCCTCGGTTATTTATTAACGGTGAAAGTTTTTTTTTTCGTCTCCTGGCACAATATTTCACCCTGGACCGCCTAAATATCAGCGATTTTGGAACCTAATGAATATATAATACATAAAACCCCATTAGTTAATAATACATAACAGATTTAACGTGGGCGTTAATATTTTCTTACAGTGTAAAGATTCACCATACTCGATATAACTAGGCGTCTAAGTTTTTTAGTATATTTATTAATTTTTTTTATCAAGTAACATATAAGTAAATACTTTGCACAATAATCAATTAACATTATTATAATATAATTAAAATATGCTACATCAATCTTAATATTTATATGATGTTTACCAACTCGTTTATTAGATCAATTGGCAATTTTCAACGTAGCAGTTAAATATAATACATGCAACATACATGTATGTAACATGTATGTACCAACATACATATCCACCTCTGCGGAGGACATAGGTATTTTTAATTTTAGTGATATAAAAAAACAAAGAAAAAAATGTTTGGAACTCGACGTACGCGAGCGTGTTGCACAAGTACGCCCTAGAGGTGTCCAACAACACACTTGTGTCCGCTCTACTTTTAGACGACTGTCCGACGGCGGGACACCTATAAATACATTTTTGCTATGTCGTCGACACACACGATTCTTGGCATGCCGGAATCTCGGCGTGTCGGTTTTCGCCAAATAAACGTAACCCTCCTTCGACGTTCCCTTGTATTATGACATATCACTCATGTTATTACACGGTATCGTTTACAGGGATCACGTGTACGAACCTGTAACGCCGGCGGCCAGCGCGGACAAGCTGTCGGTGCCGGAAAAACAGCAGTCCACCGCCACCGCCGCCGCCGCCAAGGAGGAGAACCGGCACTTTTTGCGCATACCGTTGGCCGAAGAAATCGTGATGGCCGACGAGACAGGATCGGACGACGAGGAGGACGACCACGAGGAGGACTGTCAACGGTCTGAAGAAGACGAATACGAAGACGAGTTCGGCGAAGACGACGACGACGACGACGACAAAAAGAGGACGACGGACGAATCGATTTACGAGGGTGAAAACGAAAACTCGTCGTCCGTCGACCGAGACCGGCCGACCAAGATGAAAGCGTTTCAGCAAAAGTGCAAGGTCAAGGCGGGCGTGCTGCGGGCCAAGTTGCACGGAGTGACCAAGCGCAAGCCCAAACAGAAAATAGTGCCCGCGGACGCGTCCGGCGAAGGCGCCGACAAGGCCCGCCGACGGTTCGGTCAGCTCGCGACGCTCCCAAAAAAATTAAATTTCAACGCGCCCAACATCCGTCTGCCGTCTACTTTCGGCCGGTCCAAACGGCACGAAAACGACGGCGACGAAGAACAGGCGGCCGCCAGCAAGACCGGCGGCCGGTTCAACCTGCCGCGGTTCCGGTTCCCCAGGTCCACTTCCGAATCTCCCAAACCGTCCAAATCGACCCGCATCGGTGGATCCCGGCTGTCCATACCCAACTTTCGCCCGCGCACCTGGTCGGACGCGTCAAAAGCGTCCAGGCCGCCGACGGCTGACGGCGGTGGCGGTCGCATAAAAACCAAACTCATGGAGTTCGGCACTTACCCGAGAATATTTTCCAAACGCAGAAAGGTGCAAGACGGACCGAGAGAAGACAATACGAAGACGCCGCCGGAGTGCAACCCGGAGACGCCGTCGACGAAGCGAAAGGAATCGTTCCACCGGCGGTTCTTCCGATCGCACCACAAAGAGTCCACTCCGGGCCCGCCCGAGACGACGGCGGCTTCGTTGGCCGCGGAAGAGGAGATCACGGATGAGGGACACGCGTCCAAAGAGTCGCTGGCCGAGTTCGGCGACAGCGATTTGCAAGAAGTGGTATCGCTGAGCGACGATTGCAGCCGGTCAAAAGACACCAAGAGCATGTGCGAGCACAGGGCGGGTGTGATCGAGGAAATCGATTCGGACGAGTTTTTCTTGCGCGAGAAGGGCTTGAGCCACGGCGACGTGCATATCAGCAATTACTTGTCGTCAGAAATCAAGCACGTGTTCCGATCAAGCCGGACGAGTTCCGACGAGCAACGCGAAAATGGCACGTCGGTACCCGTTCGCCCGTGCCGCACCAATTCGTTAAGGAAACCCATGCGGTCGCAAAACGGCACGAACACGCTCAACGTGAACGACCATCAGCGGTTCAGCACGATGCCCAAATCGTTCGGTAGCATAACTCCGTTCAACGTCAAAAAGACGGACAACGACAGCGTTCCGGAGAACATCATTACCAGCACAACGTTCGAACCCAACTCTACGCTTCCTCCTGCGTTCAGAGTGCCCTGGAGGACGGCCGACAAGGAGAACGTAGTGGCGCACATGCCGCCCAAACCGCCAGCACGCCAACGAATGACGATCCAACGTTGTTCAACATTCGACACGCGGTCCATGATCGATCTATCCCGGAAGAGAAGCCAATCGCAAACCGTAAGTGTCGTTGTCGGTTTTGTTTTCAATATTTTATACATCTTTAACATTTAATATTAACTAAATATTTTCTTTACTGTCTATTTTTAAATTGAGATTATTGATAATTATTTTAGTCAAAACTGTCACTTAAGATCAAGTTTATTTTAAACTATCTGGTACTTACTCTTTTATTTTCGCGTGGTGTTTGGATTACTCTATTAATACTTAGTGTGACGCCCACGTAGACTGTCGTCACTTTAAACCTGTAGATATTCCGAAAACCTAATCAATCATTCATTGATCGACGTTGTTTTGGTACAAGAAATTAAAAAATATACATTGCTTCCCTCACGTAAATGTTATTACATGTCAAATGATCATATTTAATTTATTAAAAAATAAAATTTAATATTTTCGTGTTATAAGAATACGCAAAAATTTCATAAACAAAAAGCTCGGGTAACTTTAATTGTTTTTTTATTCTTAAAAATAACTCGAGATTTACTAGTTTGGACGAATTTCAAATAATCCGTTTTTCATTACAGCACAGCATTGCTTAACAAGCATCCAAGAGAAAAATATTAGATATTATTCATTTTTAATAAAACGGTTTTCAACATATTTTATCATCGATTATTTTTGTTGTATCAAAGACCCCATTACGATTTTAATTCGTTTGTTTTTATAAATATATTTTAAATCGGATAGTGTAGGTACTTGGCAAACTGTTTTTTTTTCGGACATCTATTATTTGGCTCGACCAAACTACAAGCGACGTCTAAATATTTTGTTGGCGTTTTCTCGATAGAACATTTTATTATCTAACTATACGCTCGGCTCTATTTATATAATAAAATATATGGCACCTGAATACTAATACTAATTGGCGGGTTTACAATATATATTTTATAGGTATTAACAGTAATTATTTAATAATGGTTTTAAACAATAGTTATTATTTTTTAGGGATTCCTGCAACAAATCAACTTTTCAGAAACCGCGCCGAAAGCACCACTTCGAAGGTCCAGGGTATCGTTGGCCGACACGGACAGGGAGAACTCTGTTGGTTTCGATAAAACGTTTGCGGCCGACAGGAGCGCACCGACACCGCCGTTGCGTCGTTCTCGCATGTCGCTCAACACCGACACGGACGCCGAAGAGCGGAATATCACGGTTCAAGGAATAACAAAGAAACGCACTCCGCCGCCGCGGCCGGTGTTTCCCGGATACGCGACGGTGGACAAGTCGTCGTCGTTGATGACACCGGAATCGCCGATGAGACACATGCGGAAGAAGTCGTACGACGTGATCAAGAGCCAGGAGTTCGGTGGATTTTTCACAATACCCAGATCTTACAACTTCAACAAACCCACCACCGCCGCAGCCGCCCAACCGCAAGATCATCCGATAAACTTACCGCAGCCCGCCCGGCCGGCCAGGGCATACAACACTTTAGGACCGCCCCGGCCGCAAAGACGCCGCCGGGAAAACGAGTACGGTGACGTGGCCGATGACAACCGGACCGACCATCAGACAGATCCACCGTCCACCGAGGACGAAACTGGACCGGCAAAAGTGTTGATCTCGGGCGATGTGATCGAAAAAATGAAGCTCAGGCCACTGCCGTCGCCGCCTCCTCCGCCCCGTAGGACCAAGGCCCCGGACGAACTACCCGTGCTCATCCAGAGGAGGAACACCGACTCAGTGTTGACTCCTTTTTTAGGGGCACGAGAAACATCTGTAGCATCTTATAAATTGGCTACCGATGTTTCTCGGCGAAACGAAGACGTCTCAATCGCCATACAAACGGACCCACTGCCGGACGGATACGAGCTAGACGACGTCGGGTCCAGCTGCGACTCGGCGTCCGATAACGGCGAGCGGCCTACGTCCAGGTTGTCCGCTACTTCCGACCACCAACATAACCGGCCAACGTCTAGGATATCCATTGACGAGCACGTAGATGAACAACAATCATCTAGATCGCTTGTGGTAGAAAAGTGTGACGCCGCCGCCGCCACCTCTAGAGTGATTTGCGCGCATAAAATTAACGTCGACGAGCTGGAAGTGGGCAAACTCACCATAGCCGATATCCGAAGCCAACACTTGGACGTGGACGGCATAACGGGATCGTGCCTGAAAATTGCTCATTTGTCCAGCGGATTACCCAACAGCGCCGCTCTGCCGTGTCACGACGACCAACGGTACCCGCGGTTGGCGTCGCGCGAACCGCCGGCGCACGTAACCGACGAGACCATGTCCGTCCAGTCGCGAGTATCGTCCATGTACCCGGAAGTGGACTCGGACGAGGACCGGACGAGCATGATGGGCGCACCAACTCCGCCGCGACGTCGTAGCAAGCCGCCGCAGTCGTTGGACCGCGGCCGGCATGTTGATATCGCAGCGGCTGCCGACCCGTCCATCACCGAACTCAGTTGCCAGTTGTTCCGGCTGTGCCACTCGAACGTTTGCGGTCTGTTCAACAAAGTAGTGCAGCAAGTGGTGCCCGAGGACTCGGAGAAACAGCGCGACTTGCAGGCGGCTCTATGCTTCTTGAGCATAGTGTTGGCCGGTCTCCTTATATTGGGATTCGGCAACGAAAAAACCGTTCATCACCACCATTGGGACTTTCAGTTTCCACCGCCCAACTAATGAGGAGCACACCGCCAAGTTAATGATGCTTTTTTGTTTTTTTGCATTTTATAATTATTGTGTAGTGATCGTTAAATAATAATTGTTATCTACCGTTAGAGATTCTACCGATGTTTAGATAGAACGTTGGAATTTAGAGTGACGTGACGATAAAGCCTTTGACGAAAAAGGCAGTTTTGCATTTAAAATGTTACAACAATAACCCAATTTAAAAAGTACATTATAAACCTATGTCGTATACAGGGTGGTTCATTAAGGGTAAGACACTCATTTTCTCATAAAATAATGGTAATTATGTAGGGTTTGTTTTGGGAGACACTTTTTTTTCTTTAATATCTCAAAATACCAAATATTTACTTTTCTAGAACTCTATCAACTTTTGAAACATAAATGGTATTGTTTAACTAACAAGTCAACATTTACAGCAAATTATTTAAAAAGTTAATTGAATATAATATACATTAAAGTTTAAAAAGTTGATAGAGCCTCGAAAAGAATAAATAGAAACTATATAAATTTGAATGTTGTCTAATATTGTAAAATAGGTAACATAAACTAAAGTGTCTCCAAATAGAAAAACTACAAAATTGCAATTATTGTAAGAGATAACTAATGTGTTGTTCTTAACAAATCACTTTGTATGATAGATTTTAGTTGAAATATGTTTTCGTGAAAACTATTGAGAAAAAAAAATATGGCACAATTTTAGTAAATGTTATTTTGTTTTTAATAATTAAGCATGTAACACGTTCACGTCTGAATTTAGTTTTTTATATTACGTATAAAGATTTTTAGGATATCAAAATGACTTGCTTATTTTTTTTACTAGATTCATAAAATATTTATTATACAATCAAAAAATATTTAACTATTTGTAATAGTATAATATAATATTATGTTGTTTACACACTATCGACTAGTTCAAGTAGTAAATTTTATGTCATTATAATACAGTCTTATCAAAAACCGATTACACTATAATTTTATTATTGATATTAATATTAATATTATTTATATATATGCTAAATTGTATGTATTAATGTCAGTTGTCAATCGATGAAGCAAAATTTTTAACTAAAAAAAAAATTGTTTAACATTATATCACATAACATTTTTTTTAAAACATCAATTGTTATATTATATTTATTTGAGTATGTACAATATACATAATAAAAAAAAACATGTTGCATAATAATATACATATTAAATTAATTAATGTTTATAAATGTAGATATGCACACAGCAATCAGTACATATACAAAAAAAAAAACATATTTGTTTATCGAATGTATTGAAAATATATATTTAAAATAAATTTATGTCGTCATACGATACTAATGTACGGTCATCTCGTTGATTTCCTTTTTGTGATTTATTTGTTGCTGAAAAAAAAAAATTAACTCGCGCTTGAGAAAATATAAAACTAAATGACATAGTTCATAAACTTACCTATAGCGTGCCACGCGTTAACACCTTTTTCATTGCACTCGATTGGTTGATTACGAGATATGGATACTTTTAATTTAATGCCAGATACTGTGGTATTGTTCATCTGTTAAAATGTATTTAAATTTTTAAAAATGTAAAAATTGTTATATATTATTTTTTAGTTGCTTACTTGAGACACTGCTCTATCAGCGATATCCGATGAGTTGAATGTTATGAAACCTCGACTAGAATAAAATTGTATTCGTCAATAGCTACTCGAGTAAAATATTTTAAAATACCCGTTAAATAAAAAATATTTTCAATTACTTTTTTTCAATTTCCATTGATATATTAATTATTGTGCCAAATTTGATAAATGTACTCCTTAGGAATTCTTCGGTAAGAGAACTGCTACCTCCGACAAATATAGTGATACCTTTACGTGGTGGTTCTGGAACATGCTCAGGAGAATTCGGTATCGTAGGTACTGTAGTCTTTGATGTCGAGGAAACAAAGTTTTCGTATAAATTCTAAAAATATGACATGAAGTTTTACTAGGTACAATTCTTATTACTCAACAACAAACTAAAATAACTTACAGAAAATTTAGTTAAAGGTTTTGGAGGACTTTCTATAACTTCGTTCTTAGCCGGGGACGCCGCCGAGAACGGTTGATAACTAGTCAGTATTGGAGGTGTAGACAATATTTTTCGTTCCATACCACATGGTCTTTTGAAAGATTCCTGATCCGTGCGATTAGGCACTTTTTTGATCGGCCCAATAGCTCCAGACTTCAGCAGTTTTTTAGCTATTTCTCTAGCGTCACGAGCCGTTTCTTTCGGTCTCTTTGGATTGAGAACGGGAGAGGGTTCTGGTTCGGGACGTGGAGTTTTTTGTACTTGCAACGCTTTTTTCTACAATGATAAATTAAAATTGGTCAACTATTAAAAAAAATAAAAATCTAATAAATATTACAAAAATACTATTAAAGAAATATATGCTCACTTTTTTTCTTAATTTTTGATATTTGTTTTGCAACATGAGTTCCTCGTCGGTCAAGCTTGTTGGGAAAAGTAAATAAACCATTTCTTCGGTAAAATTACCTACACTTTGGATTAGAAAACAATAATATTTTTAAATTAAACGCATTATTATTATATCAAATCATAGGCAAAAGCGGAATATTCGGAAATTTTCATGATAACAAAACGCGTTATAAACAAAACCACAAACGAGGGGTTATAAAATCAGCCATGTCGCACTCTACTTGTGAATTATGCTGAGAGATGGCGTTAATGGTATCAATGTACATTGCAAATTTTAACTATGTGTAATTTTAATAATAATCAGATCATGACATACTTTTGTACTTCCAATGGTATGAAGACTGCAATGCACGCAGGCATGTAAATTATATTAACTTCAACTATGTTTTGTTGGAACTAAATTTTAAAAATTACATTTTAATTTTAAGATATATAACTTTACATTTAAACAATTAAAAATGTACACAGAAAAAGGAACAATATGGCATATATTGTTCCTTCTCCAAACCAACTATCGAAAATTGGTTGCCAACAAAACATAGAAAAAGTTCTCACCAACTGCCTTAAGAAGTATTCATCTTACTATCTTATAATTGCACAATTACAATTTAACCTTACCGAGGTTCTCGATTAGCGGTGTAAACATGTTATTTGTAGGGACAAAAATATTTTGCCTTAAAATACCGGTTTTATTTATACAAGTGGTTGCACAACAAGATTGAACGTATCTCTATTTGGTGTTTGGGATTTCATTGGACGACGCTACAATTGAAAATAGCTGAATATTGTTTTCTTATTAATAATTAGACTATGAACTAAGTATTTCATATACCCAAACAATTTCGCAGTAAAAAAATAACTTTGTAATTATTGAAAAAAAGCTAGCCATTTTAAACCTAACCGGAAACGCTCTGCCTAATGAATAGGTTCCCTTACAAGTATTCCATAGGCGGATTTGGGGCCTAAACCAAATTGGTTTAGAAAAATATTTGTTTTTATTGTGATTATAATGAAAATTGCTAATTATAGAGCAACACATCTGGAATACAAACCTGTTTGATGGGATCACACTTTGTTAGTTCTTTTAATATTTAGTCCATCAGTTATAGACCTTATAGTTTTAATTTTTGGAAGTAAATATAGGAATTGATTGCTATAAGATGTAACACAGGCTTTCATCAAGTCATTATTCCACACGGGTATGAAATCCAATCTACTTGTATATGTTTGCTAGTTTTGCGACGATATTCAACTTAATATGCGAGTATGTACATCTCACGATTGTTTGAAGCTTCAAGAAGACTTAAATCTGATTACTGAATGGTTTAAAAAGTTAGGGTTATCATTTAATCCCTTCAAATGTAAAGTCATGGCATTTACTAGGACTCGTTCTCCAATACTTTTCTCCTATCGCCTCGAAGAATCAGTTATCTTGCAAGTTTCAGATAACGTCATTGACCTAGGCTTTAAACTTAATAGTAGGCTAGACCCCGGACCTCATATTGAATATGTTAGTTATAAGGCTTTTAAAACCCTTGGGTACGTAATGAGGTTAGCCAAAGATTTTCGACTAGGAATGTCTATCAAGTCACTTTATTGTGCGCTTGTTCGACCGATTCTGGAATATGGTGCAGTTGTTTGGGATTCTTACAATGCTGCTGATTCTATGCAGGTTGAAAGGGTTCAGCGAAAGTGTTTACGGTTTGCAAGCCATTTACTACACATTCCATGTGAGTCGCACAACTATAACCCGGTATCTGACGTCCTTGGACTGCCAACCCTAGCTGAGCGTAGGCGTTCCATGGGAATCTCATTCTTAAATGGTCTGTTAAGCAATAAAATAGATTCCTCTGTCCTTATCTCCCTTTTATGTTTTAAGATTCCTCAACGATCTTCCCGGTTTTCTGCTCGGTTTTTTATGTTCCCCATTCCACCACCAACTATATGCTTAATGAGCCCATTAGACGGATGATGGCTTCCGCCAATGTGGATCCTTCTTTTTTAAACTCGATTTTTAAATCATAAATTGTAATTTGAAAATGTTTATTATTATTTGTAATTATGTGTTAAATTGTGTATTATATTTTTCTGTAATCAAAGATCGCATGCCCGTATATATTCTAATAAATAAATAAATAAATATTATCTGATATTAAAACTAAGACAAATGTCTATCTTCCCACCATTAGTGTGAATTTAAAAAAAGTAATATTGTGCTAAGATAAATTGAATCAGAGTTTAAACAGGTTTTCTTGTGTTTTTCATTAGATTAAAATTCCGCAAAGATATAAAACATTTTAGTTGTATTCAATTGTTGATTACAATTTACAGCTACCTGTAATACGGCGATTTGTATAGGCAATGTTGGTACGTTCGTGTAATTGGGTATTTTGCCGAATCATAGTTTATTATTTTATATTGTTTTAAATTATTCAATATTTTTAAATGTTTTTTTCTGCATTTTGTTCTGGCAAATTTAACCAAATTTGATTCAATACATAAAATGATTAAATTTGACATTTTTGATTAATGATTTTATGGATGAACATAAATAGTTTTTCATCTTGTATGTTTTAACACTGAAAAAATCGTTCACCACTTGCATTTAAATGAGGTTAAGTTCAAATAATTCTTAAAATGATTTCTATAATTGTGAACAAATAAAGCTTCAAAGAACCTTGGCATTCATAATCACCTTGGCGTGTTGAAGTGTAGAAAAGAGTTTCAGAATTTTATCAGATATAGTTCATTAGTCGTTAATAATTTTAAGTTAGCAACAAATCAAAATCAAAATTATTACTTTTTATTTTCACATCAACAATTTTCTTCTCGGTAAAATCCAACGAATTCTTTATGAAGTTTTTTTTTTAGTTTTTGTATACATAACGTCAGGAAAGATTACAAAGAAAAAATCAAGGATTACTTAGATGGTTTAGACCATGATATGGATATAAATTACTGTTGGGAAAAAATGGAAACGGCAATCAAAAGATCGGCAGAAGAAGTTTTGGGCCATGAACCAAAGATAAAAAGAAAACCATGGTTTAATGAACAATGTAAGAAAGCTGTTGCAGATAGAGATAAAGCACGTTTAAGAGTGGTACAATACCCAACAGAGGAGAACAAAAGGATGTTAGCTTATAGACAGAGAGAGGCAAAAAGAATAATTAGGACGATTAAAAGATTATGGGAAAAAGAAAAAGTGAAGGATATAGAGAAAAACCGGAAAAATAACACAAGGATATTCTTCGAAAAGGCGAACGAGGTGAGAAGAAGTTTTAAACCTAGACATACAATGATAAGAATGGAGGATGGCACTCTGTTAACAGAAAATGGAAAAATAGCGAAGGCATTCAAGAACATGTTTCAGACACTATTAAATCAACCTAGAAGAGATGTTGTATCAGAAGAATGTGACACGGTTGAACAAAATATTGAACGGCCATCAATGCAGGAAGTGGAGACTGGGCTAGATATGCTAAAGAGTGAGAAAGCCCCTGGAGCAGATTATATAGTACCGGAATGTATTAAGAATGGAGGAGAGCAATTGATAAAGCAGCTGCATAAGCTAATTAATAAAATCTGGGATCAAGAGGAAATACCATTAGCATGGCGCACCTCTGTACTATGCCCGGTGTTCAAAAAGGGTGACACCATGAACTGTACAAATTATAGAGGGATTTCTCTACTTAATACCTCGTACAAAGTATTATCGAATGTTCTACTCAATAGATTGAAACCGTACATAAAGGAAATTATTGGAGATTACCAAGCAGGTTTCATGGCTGGTAAATCGACACTGGACCAAATTCATGTTGTCAAACAGATAGTAGAAAAAAGTCATGAGTTTGACAAAGATGTGCATTTACTGTTTGTGGACTTCAAGGCTGCATACGACTCAGTGAATAGAGAAAGACTATGGAAAATAATGGACCAATTGGGGATACCAAGAAAGATCATAAGAATGATAAGAGCATGTGTGCATGGGTCGAAATGCAAAGTAAAGTACGGAGGGGAGGAATCAGAAGAATTTGAGGTAAGGACAGGCTTAAGACAGGGAGATGCCTTGTCACCAGCCCTTTTTAATATAGCGCTGGAATCAGCTATGAGAGAAACCTTAACTGGAGCAACAGGAATCAAAATGGGAAATGGCCAACAACTGGTAGTAGCAGGGTACGCAGATGATGTTATAATAATGGCGGAGAGTGAGGAAGACCTTAAGAGAACTACTAGTAAACTGTTAGAAGAGAGTGGAAAAATTGGATTAATGGTGAATGAGGGGAAAACAAAGTACATGATAGTCACGAGACACAATCATGAAATAAGACACTTGGAAGTGAATAATTATAACTTTGAAAGGGTGGCAAACTTCAAATACTTAGGGGTAAACGTCAGTGAGAACGCTGACAGCCACGAAGAAATAAGACTAAGACTGGTAGCCGCAAATAAATGCTACTTTGGACTAGTACCCCTACTCAAGTCAAAGATGTTATCATGGAAAACGAAAATAACGCTGTACAAAGTTCTGATAAGACCGGTAGCACTATACGCCTGTGGCGCATGGGCAACAACAAAGACGGATGAGAATAGACTAGCTACGTTTGAACGAAAAGTCCTTAGAAGGATATTTGGGCCAAAAAGAAACGCCCCAGGGAACTTTGAATTAAGAACAAACCGAGAAGTAGAAGAACTGTACGGCGAAATAAATATAATTGGAGTGCTTAAGAGTAGTAGACTGGGATGGGCTGGACATGTGTGGAGATCCGAAGGCCCTATAGGATTGGCAACGAGTTGGATGCCAGACACAAGAAGGCCGAGAGGACGGCCCAGACAGCGGTGGAAAGACAGGATTACAAAAGATGCATCGAGGTTGGGAGTAAACGACGCAAAGGAACTAGCTCAAGATAGAGATAGCTGGAGGCAAGTGGTTGTTGCGGCAATGGACCTAAATGGCCCGTAAAGCCAAGAGAAAAAAAAAAAAAAAAACGTCAGAATTTGGGTTTTAGAAAAAGATGTTTATGTGAAAATATATATTATATTATCACATCAAAGGTACATAACAGGACAATTCGAAGCACGATAATATTGTACAACTCAATAATACCGTAAACGCAATGATCATAATAATGTTATTGCATATATATTTTTTTTTTTAATATTTTAATTTTAGTATTATTACAATAATTTAGACTGCTGTGTTAAGGTTAACAAATACGTTAACCTTAACACATTGTGAAAACGATTGTTAAATTAAACACCCGAAATTGGCTTGTTAAAAAGTTAATCAACATGTTAAAATTTGTTGTAGTACTTATATATAATATTTATATTATTATAGTTCAGAAATTGTTTTATAATTTTGTTGACTGAGTATACTAGTAATATATAATAATGAATTACACATTAAATGAGGAATTTCTTTATATTGGGTATTTAGAAAACAATAGAAAAGACAACTTCGATAACCCTTTTTTTAGGTAAGCAGAAGTTATTTTAAGTAGGTAGATTAGGTAAAAAGGAATGGCACAGACTTGCATTATAGGTTCATATATCATAATTTATTGTATTTTATAATTTGGATAATATTATTATGTCTTGCCTGTCCTGAATATAACAATGTAAATAATTCTTAGCACTACCTACTTTTTATTAGGCCTTCAAAATAGAAAATTTTAATGACCTTGATGACCAACAATTTTTAGAAAGGTATAGACTATCTAAACAATGTGTAAAAAATTATGTATTAATTATTTATATGAACCGAAACGTTAAAAGAAAGTAAAATAAAATGCCAAATAATAACAAAGTTCAAACAGACAAGTTTAATAATCCATTTATACTCTGCGCCATGAGAGAAGTAACCCGTTTCGCGCAACACGACTGACGGCCGCGACTGTCCCGAGGCCCCATTTCCCCCACTTTGTGCCATTCGGTGTCGTGCTGAGGCGTGCATACAGCGCGAAACAGACGATATACAGAGTGATTGTATATAGAGTATATTATTTATTATAATTTATTATTTTATTTATTATAATAATATAATATGTTATTATTATAACATATTTTTACAACCAGGTCAAGTGAGGTCAGAGGTTTTTGTGTACAGGCAAAGGAAAGCCGCGTCCCGACTTTTGGTGTACAGGCAAAGAAATGACGCATCCCAAACCTTCGTGTATAACTTAATTATATAAATTAAAACTAAAGAATATTTAAATTAAATATAAATTTAATATTTATTATATAATATATAATATATTATTTATTATTATATTATTATTATAATAATAATATAATAATGTAATAATTCAACAGTAAACGCAAGCGCGTGGTTCAAAGACGTAAGACGTGAGTCTTATGACTTGTGACACACTGTATCGAGTTTACGTTATAATACAACCTATATATGCAGCGCCGCCGCCGCCGCCGACCGTGGGTGTGGCCTATCGGTGGCGATGCGCGGAATCGGACGCGTTTCGGTCGAGCAACGGGTTACTTCTCTCATGGCGCAGAGTATATATATATATATTCATTTTTTGTTGTTTACAATTTACTGATAAGAAATGTGTTGATAATCAAATTTAAAAAATTCTACAAAATGATAAGGCACTGTTATCAGTCCAGTCCTAACCTCAATTTTTCTTAAGTTCTTAAATTTTAAAATTCAAATATACGAATTGCAAAATAAAACTTTGTTTTTCTTCGTGTCGACTGTCGTTCGTTAAGTAACTATTTGGATTTCTCTTGTAAATTTCACTTTTAGCTACACAATGGAACCTGTACGGTTTTCAATAGAATGTCCGAATCCCAATGGTGCTCGTTTAGGTACAATAAGAAACTTAGCGGGAAATATAAATTGTCAAATTGAAACACCGGGTTTGATGTTTTACACGAGAGTAAGTACTTCTTATTGGCGTTCAATTAATACTAGTTCAAACTGATGATAGTCGTTGTGTACATATTATAATACCTATCATATACAATATACATACATTCATTAAATGTACATAGAGTCTACAGATGTATGAAACGCCGTGACCAAATTGTTGACACAAAATTAATGCTGATAATTTAGGGCTGCACCCATACTGCCGTGCTAAGCAGAAATGTCTTAACTTATGCAGATAGGACACTTCTATAAAGCATGGCAGCATAATAGTGTTCTAAAATATCTATGCCGTGGACTATGTATGATTGTTTAATTATGTGTTTATATTATAATAATAAATTTCTTTACTTTAGAATGGAAGCGTACCAAATGTTTCACGTGAAGTTCTTCAAATGATAATACCCGAAGAAAGAGTTTTGTTCAATTTTCCATTACCTACGATAATGGAATTCCATAAACCAGTTGAAAAACTAAACAAAGGCTTAACAAGTTTTGTCGGCCTGCAGGTATTACTCGAGTAAACAATTATTGGTAGTTTATTAAATTGCTTTAAAACAGTCAGCACAAGCTAGTAAAATACCATTGGTCACAACTAATTTAAAATACTTAAATGATTAACAATTATGAAACATAAAAGCGGTTACATTAAAAAGGAGGTGTGTTTAAATTTCTCTTAACTGCATTATCTGATCTCAGTATGTAATTTTTTCAATATTCCCACTATGGTCAATTCCATTATTGGTGTTTACTAAATGTTCTTTAGTAATATATATAAAAAAAAAAAATTTTCCAGAGCTACTTTTCCTGTTGTTCCGTTAGGGATTGTGGTGTAGACACTCCCACCGGTTATAACAAAAAAGATAAAGTTGCTATTATAACAAGAGCGGGGAAGAAATTAATCGATTATGAAAAGTAATTATTTAACTCACTATTGGATAATGGAACTATGATGATATTGTGAAATACAGTTCTTCGTTTCCTTTGCCAGAAATGTCCAATAGGAAATATTACTTAGGCTTGTGTACATAGTTAATAGTCGTATAATGAAATACAGGTATATGGAAATTATGGAAGTTTTCAAACCCGATATGTACGTAACTCTGTGTATTAGTGATACAAATCTAGACAGCTCACCTTCGTCGATTGAAAAATCAGTTAACTTGTCAAATAGACTTTTTGAACAATGTTTTAAATTGCATAAACAATCAGAGGTAATATATTAAATTGAACATCAGTTTGTAATGTTGAAATTATTAAAATGTATCTGTATATTGTCGTTCTTTATAAATATTTACAATATTGCATTAGCGTTTTTCAGATACTAAAGCGAAGTGGGATTATAGCCCCTATTCAAGGTGGTTATAATATAGAAGAAAGAATTAGATCAGCTCAATTTCTCTCGGGATTTGACGTGTTAGGATACATGTTTGATGGATTCGCTAACGATGGAACTTCGACTGAATTTATTCCCAGCGATGTCGTACAATCTGTTATAAATGAGACAATAGTATGTTTATACCGTGTTTGATTATCATGTGTTTAATAGTATAATGATTAAACGATATCAATGCTAATTCTAGGCTCACCTGCCAAATGACAAAATGAGAATTATGTTCGGCGCTTGGACTCCTGATGTTATTATTGATCTAATAAATAGTGGAATGGATTTGTTTGATACAACACTGCCTTATTTAGTGACTGAAAGGGAATGTGCTCTAGTTTTTGACTATAAATTAACTTATAAGTAAGTTTTTTATGCATGTTCCTTAACCAATTGAAAATAACCAAATAATATTTACAGGGGCGGCCTTGTCAACATGGAGGTTTTAAATAAAGAAATCTGTCTCGTCAAAGAGAATATTGATAAAGCATACTATGAACTTGATTTAAAAAATAAAGTGTAAAGTATTTTTATTACTACATTATATTCAATAAATAAAATACAATAATTTTAGTATTAACTTAAAAACTCGATAGACATAAAATTGTTTAGAGCCCTTATCTATTGTTTACAGTTGAAATAATTGGTTTATAATAATTTTAGGCATTTCGAAAGTTTTATACCGTTAAAAGACAAATGTACGTGTTTGACTTGTAAAAAACATACCAGATCGTACATTCATCACTTGCTTCTCTCAAATGAAATTCAAGGTCCTTTGCTGTTATCAATGTAAGTAAATTTGTATTTCAAAGTAAATTTTTTTCCTATATATTTATATATATGTATAGAAAAAAAACTCCTTGAATTAATTTTTTTTTATATTTGTTTATTTTTAGACACAATCTTCATTTTTACTTTCAATTTTTCAAAGATATCCGTGAATTGTTGGGGAATAATAAAAAAGAATAATCTTGTACAGCTATTTTATGTCTATGTTATTTTAACATAAGTATAAGATGTAAACTTACTATTTAAAATTTTTTTTTAATCCAACTTTTCTTATGTATTTGCACACTACATAAATGTATTATTCATTCACTGTTGATTATATTATAATATAATATTATTATTACAATAAATAAATGTTAATATTTATTTAAATAATAATACATTTTATGCAGTACATAAGGTACATAGGTATGCAGTATTTGAGAGACGATAACCATTTAAATAATTAGTAGAGACGCGTTGGCCATTTTCAGTCTGCGATTCACACAGACTCGAATTTGTCTTGACATTCATAATTTATATCACAAAAAAATAAAACACTACATTATTGCTAGATTGTATACTTAAAAACGGTATGAGTGTACGTTGGCCATTGTTTTATTTGAGAAATTAAAATTTTTTAATTAATTCCAAATAGCGTATGCCAACACTTGACCTTGACTTCTCTTTTGAATTAACTGTTTAATTATAAATAATTTTTTCTTTTCAATGTTCGAACGGTTAATGGTTAATATTCGGATAAATTGTTACAGTTAATTTGTCAGCGATAATAATAATTATTTTTAACCGATTAAACAATTTAATACTTATTTGTTTTTGCGTTTAATTTAATTAAGAAATTATTGTTTATTATGTAATTATAAATTATAAAACCATTAATAATTACATAATAAACAATAATTTCTCAACTAAATTAAACGAAACAATAAATACATTTTTAATTGTTGTATAAAACATTTACTTTTTAGTTAACTTACGTATGTTACTTGTGTTTTTTTTTTAATTTTTAATTTTGGCCCGATTCCAAAATTAAAATATTTTAGTTTTTTTTTTATTGCGATTATAATAGTATTTTAAAAACCGTGTGCGAACTACGGGCTGCGAATCGGGAAAATTTGCACGCCTACCCACTAGGATCGCTACTGTATTTCGGATTGGTTCCTCTATAAGCTCTTAGAAAACGATACCACGAGTACGGTCATGCGACATGCAGGCCAGCTGTAGTGTAGTCAGTACACATTGTTCAGCTATTGGAGAGGGTTCTTCTGCGGTGTGTATTCATAATATTTTCATGCACTTCTTTACCATTGCACAACAAACTGTGATTTAAAATAATAATTGTTTTAATGTAAATCTCTGGAAAAAAAACTCGTATACACAGGTAAGATATTTTTTTTATATAAATTTTATATTTAAGGTTAGGTACGTGTTAAACTTTTATAATATTGCAAAATGCTTAGTTAGCAGTTGCACACGTAAGTATGAATGGTCCATAAAACAATGTACACATATTGTATTGAGAAGATCAAAGATCATTTTGTTACGGAACAATAATTACCTATACATCTCATCGTTTCCTATTATGAATGCAATTTTTTAATTAAACAAATTTGTATTAAATTCAATTTTTTTATTAAAAAAAAATTTGTTTCATTATCATCGTAAATATTGTTGCATAGTATTTTAATTTTCTATATTGTGATATCTTTAAGTCGATAGTCTACAGCTAGGAATTTTTATAATAATATTTTAGCTAATACAACTAGCACGATATCTAGTGGTCAAAAACTCAAAACTGTAGAGACCGCCAAAATATAGAAGAAAAAAAAATATGGCGCCAATATTTACTTTTACAAATTATTTTTTTGACCAAATTTCAAAAATCGTTTTACTTTTTTTTTTATTATTAAAATATGGGTAAAAAGTATACTGTATGATAGATGATAGTATTATAAGCGCTTTTGGTTAACAAAAATAATACATCTATTTTATGATGTACCTGTAATATATAAGCGACGTTACTGTGAAATTCATTTTATTCTCGAATTTCAAAAGTTAAAATTATTTATTCATTAAATAGCTTTTCAGAGTAACTATTTGCATATTATATAGGAGGTCTTGGCTGGAGTGCGTAATGTCAATTATTTATTATCTACTGAATTTATTTTTATCTATATAATATTTTATAAATACTTCCGTTGTTGAGAAAATTTTGAATTATAAAATAATGAAATATGAAGTCTCTAACGCGCGTGCGATGAAAATACTATGATAAATAATGTTTAGACTTGTATTGTTAAATAAGCAAACGCTCTTCGTAGAAAAACAAAACATTCAATGTTTTGTTTATTATTAAAAAATATTTCACATACCAACTTAAGTATAATAATAGCTACTATTCGCAGTAGCTATTTATACATCCGTAAATTAAGAATAAACATATTTCTGAATACAAAATATTTTTGTTTATGCGTACTTAAAAGCCTATAATAATGAATAATCACAAGTAGGTAATCTATTTAACTAATTTTTAATTGCAATATAGTAGGTTTTTTTCAAAAACATATTAGTTAAATGTTAATATTTTTTTTTTAAATTAAATTTTGAGCATTTTTTTTTGCACTTTTCAGACCTAACATATATATTTTGTTAACTTTTTTAATCGAGAACTATGTACTAAAAATGTCATTGGTCGATAGTGAGGTTCAAATAATTACTTTCAGAGTTGTTACAGGGTTTAAAAGTTTTAGCAGGAACGAAAGGGGTGAAGTTTAACCCCTAATATATTAATATAACTAGATAGGTAACATACATGTAAAACTGACAAAATTTTATTGATGATCTGCTGTGGCTTTTTTCTCTGAATCATTAGATTTTTTTTTATATACACATAATTTATACGTATAACGGGACTATCTACATTTTTTTTTTAATGGCTATTCTATTGTTTAACAACAAAATACATTTTAATGTATTACTATTCAATACATAGACCATGACATATTTCTCTTCGATTAATTAATCTCTATGAATTTATATTTAAAATAATATGCTGTTAAGGCAATTCAGCAATAATTATTGTTTGGTAGGCACCCACAGAGTTGTCGGTCAAAGCGATATTCGTCGAGCACTTCCTTGTGCATTATACGGTCGAAAACGGCATATTACTTGTTGGCCAAATTTAAGTAGTTAAAATTTTCAGTTAAAATGTCGTTAATTTATGTAAATATGTATCGCTTAGTATCAGTTTTCGGACGTCTGTTGACTATTTGTATTTGGTTCATTCATACAGCCACTTAGAAATTTACTACGGTCAAAGTGTAATATTTTATTTGACTGTAATTTTTTTTAAAGTTATAGCGCGCTGTAATTTTAAGTTGAAAAATATGTAAACTTTTTGGGGATTTTGGAAGGAAAGGTGTGAAGTTTTTTAATTTAAATTAAATCCTGTACTTGTATGTTCCAATTACGTACCTTTCCGGTATGATTTCTAACCAATAAACTTGCTACATGAAGATAAAGAAATTCTAATTATGATTAGCAACGGTTGACCACAACAAAATTGAATGGATGTCATTAATAATGGTGACTTGAAATGGCTAACGGAACAGTGATAGATTGAATGGTTGAATGGTATGGAGGAAAGGATAGGAGAAGGATAAAAAAAAAATAAGATACTATTCTTAATCGACCCATTAAGAGTATTTAATACAATCCTTTATGAACCCGTTATTTTACTATAAAAATTATAATATTACAATTTTATTTTGCTGATTACCTCTTAATTGTTTATTTGCACATTGTATTGGATATTAAAAGTATTTACTAATATTTTTTTCTTGTGATGTAGTAATTTGTTTGTTTTTTTACTATTTATGAATTTGATAAAACATTCTTATATCAGTTTTTAATTTTAAAATAATGATAATGGTTTATTTTACATCAATGGTCGGCAATTGGACGTTTTTACGTCGGAATTTTACGTTTATCAATTTTATTCTTAATTGTCAATTTATAAAATTGTTTGTATAGCCCGACTTACGAATTAAAACGGGGTTTTATCGTTCTATAATTATTTTATTTATTATAAATATTTTAAATACTTAAGTAACTAGTTATTTTTAATAAAATTAAAAAAACATTGTTCTGTAATAAATATAATTATTTAGAAAGAATCAATCTTGATTAATGTTATAACTTATTACAATTAATAGTGGTTCATTAGATAATCTAATTTTTATTAGAAATGCGAGAAATAGTTAAGTCGAGTATTCGAACAAAAGTATTCAGTGTATTAAATATGAATGTAAATCAAGGTATTCAAGAAAGTTATTATTAGTTGGAATAACGCGCCACTAATAATCATACTTTGATAAGAGAATCGGCTGATGATGATTTATTATTTTTGTATAATACATCATTTCTTCTAGGTAATATATAAATGTTTGTGCATAGCTGATATACCTGTATAATGTTCAAACGTTTATATGAGAATTTATAATTTTCATTATCAGGAAACAGAGTTCACTGTTGTAATGTCAACTCTGAAAAAAATAGATTACAAAATTAGTACACTTCAATCTGTCAGAATTGTAACCTTTTTTTACAATACTTATTTGGTGTCATACTAGTATTACAATTTGTGCACACTCTCTTGTCAATTGACTACATTGAATAAAATAAATGTTTTGTAACGATGCCACGCGGTTACAATGTGCGATTGAAATTTAAAAACAAATTACATTAATATATTTCCAACTATTATTTCGTGTTTCTTTAGAGTTTGATTTTTTTATCAAATACATTTGTTTTTAATTCGAAAAATTCGTTTCCAAATTACATTTTTACATTACCAATCGCTGTACTGATATACAGAGTGATCATTTCATCGTGAAATACTCAATATCTCGTAGGGTTTATTAAGACATTTATTTGATTTTTTTCATATTGTTATTTGTTATTATTTAATGTGATCTCAATTTTTCACAATTAAGGATAATTTGCTGACAATTTTGACTGATCCATAACCAGCTTAGGATCATTACTCTAAAACTTATAAAGAGTGTAAAAGTTAGGTACACTCTACTTTTCAAAATTTAGTAAATTTAATAACAAAAACTTGTAAGTTTTATTTGTTTGTTTCGAAACGTCGGATTTGTTAATTGCACTGTACCAATTTAGTTATAACAGCGCAATTATTTTTGCACACAACACCAACTAACGTGTCACACTAGAGGCTAAAAAACCCGGAACCGTGTCTAGGTAGGTTTTTTTCAACAAAATCAACCGATTATCTAATAATTAGTAATGTAATCGCGTCGGTTGAGGTCATGGAACCCCTCAGGGTTATGATCGATTTTATATATAATATACTTTAATATATTTATATATATTTGGGTGGGTAGATATTGAGTAGGTATGTATATTATGGAGCAATTTTGTTGGCAGTTGACACGTTCCATGGTTTTTGTCTAAAGAACATAATCATCTTTCACCATTCTATCAAGAGACACCACTATCTGTATAGTAGATAATACACGCATTTATATACTATTATCTACTATTAAAAAAAAAAAAAAAAAAATAGAAACAAAATGCCATTTGACATTTTTCCTAACATTACTACTAGCAATTTGAAACGTTAGGATAATTTTAAATTGAAACTATTTAAGTATTAATGTATTGCGTAATTAACGCTCAAGGATATATGGGATTTATTTTAAACGCCTTTTTTTAAATTGCCCTATTTTTAAATACTTGTGTTCCGGTTTTAAGATTAGTGCTTACAAAAGACGGCAGAAATGAGCATTTTTGGAATGACACTGAACAAACGATTATATTATTTACAAATTATTAATTCCTAGGATAATTTGTATGTTTTTATTTTTATTTTTTATTTATTGTTTGATGAACGATAAGAAAACATGACCTTTTTCCGTCACTGATTACTATTTATACGAATATTTTTAAATACTAAAATATTAACTATTACATAATACATCATCCGATCCCATATTATACAGCTCTCATAACATATTATAGTAAACTTTTTTTTCTACTAACTTACGTTTAAATACGTTTTTGTTGAATAAGAAGTTAGAAGAGTGTACTTAGTATGATTTATATACATTTGTTTGGTATAATGTATAATAATTGGAAATAGAATAGAGGGTCCAATGATTTAAAATCCTCCCGGATATCTGTGTAACTCTAAATTTCTATATTACATGTTCAAGTTAAAACACTCAAGTTGTAACGAACTAATAAAAACATATTACCGGGTAATTATGATAACACTTATGAAGTATATAAGCGGTAAAGTACAAAAACATGGTGTATTTACTTTTGTCTAGTACAATTTCGTTAACTTATTGCCTCATTTCCTAATTATAATAGTCAACAGATAAGTTAATATTAATACCTGTACATTAGATGCGATAATAATAATACATCCACTAAAACATACAATCAACCAGCAATTATTTTATTAGGCAATTGAATTTGAAAAAAATGTGTATAATAAGCTACTAAGATCTTATAATCGTTCGACATTTTCAATTATAGCAGAGTATACTATATTAAAATCTTCTACAAATCACCAATAATATTCGCCTATTCTTGTGTTTATATATTATTATTGTAGTAAATTTATTTGTAGTTAATTTTTTTTTTTTTTATTGTATAATTTGTTTTTAAAAAACCCGCATTCTCCTTTAGATATCAAGGTGGTACTACCAACACGTGGTTTAATCAACTTACTCGATACTTAATTTCGTTGTTTTGGGTAAATACAATATATTGTAATTAAAAAAGGTTATCGTCATGGTTATCTGTAAACTTACAATTCCAATGTCTACGTGCCAAGGCTATTTTGTCTGGAAGTTTTATTTTCTATAGATTAAAACGCACATGCACTATGTGATTACTTAACACTTTTATGAGCTCCATTAAAATTATGGCCAATATAGGGACACAATACATTTCTAATTGCTTTAACTAAAAATTAGCTGGCCCAACTATTTATTTAGTTATTCCGACTAAAAATGTATTGTGTAATTAGCCATAATTTTAGTTGGACCGACTGCATGTTTTTTCTGTATTAGTACCTATGCGTAAAGACCGTTACTAAAATAGACCACAGTAAAAAATATTATTGGCTTTTAAGTCCATAAGGACTAACCCAACAAATATTTCATACAGATGATAATTTATGATTGGAAAAATGCAGTTTTTTGAAATTTATAAGTTATACAATGCAAAATATCTCGACGTGAACATTATAATATGTATGTGTTATTATGTTTTACAGGATTGTATTATATTATATTATTGAATCAACTACGTGTTAAACAAATTCTACAATGACTTCTATAAAGAATAATGTAAAATTAAGAAGAGAACTAGGACTTTTCAGTGCAGTATGTCTCATAGTCAGCGTAATGTTGGGTTAGTATAGTGTTGTTTTCTTCAGTTTTAATCGACCACGGCTATAAAAAAAATATATCATTTGTTCAACAGGATCTGGAATATTTGTGTCCTCAGCCAGTGCGTTGAAGAGTACTGGATCTGTTGGGATGTGCCTAGTCATTTGGACGTTGTGTGGACTTTTATCTCTATTGGGTATTTACAAATTGTATTTCCAACATAGAAAAAATAATTAAGTTGATTCTATGTTCATCCCCAGATTTTCTGTAGTGTTTATCATTTGATTGTGCCAAACTAATGTAATTTTTATTTTTTTTTCCTAATTTACAGGCGCTTTATCGTACGCAGAATTGGGTGGTATTGTCAATAAGTCTGGTGGCGAATTTAGCTTCTACCAATATGCTTTTGCCGATATGCACAAATTCTGGGGTCCGTTGGTCAGTTTCATTTACTCGTGGGTTAGCATCATGTACATCCGTCCAGCCGAAGTGGCCATTATCATATTGACTTTTGCTAAATATTTCGTTCGGCCAATAAGTGTAGCCGTGTCGATGGACCCAGATTACGAACACTGTCTTAGAAAACTTGTCAGCATACTAGTACTTGGTAAATAAAAAAAATCTCTACATACAATTCACAATTCAGCACTAGTAATTTGCTTGACTTTTACAGGTATTATCACTGCAATCAACTACAACAGTGTCAAGTGTTTCATAAAAATCCAAAATGTTTTTACAATTTGTAAAGTAATGGCCTGTATGTGTGTGATCGTCGGTGGACTATATCAGCTGCTATATCTGGGTAATTTTTATTTTACCACTTCTGAATTTATCTGTTTACATTTTTTTTTCTATATTATATAAATAGGTAATACACAAAATTTGAAAACTGGTTTTCAAGGCACAAAATCATCGTTGAGCGATTTAGTTATGGCTTTTTATAGTGGCCTTTGGGCGTATGACGGATGGTATACATATATAATATATTTATATTAATTTGACTGAATATTAAAAAAAACGTACCAAATATGAAAATATTCTTATTTGTTTTAGGACCGCCACTACTACCGTTTCTGAAGAAATCAAAAATCCTCAAAGGTGGGTAACGCATTAATCGTACTATTGCAGGCATATAACTATTTATAATTGTTCCTTTTTTTCTTTGCAGAAATATATTATTAAGCATACTTTTGGCTGTGCCATTTATGACATTTTTTTACGTTTTAATGAACGTATCGTATCTTACCGTTTTGTCGGTACCCGAAATGATCTCTGCAGAGGCAGTTGCAGTAGTAAGATTTTATCAGTATAATAAATACTTTTGTAATCATATATAATGTGTATTTAATTTTTGTTTTAAGGAATTTGGCAGTCGAGCGCTTGGATATTTCAGCTTTGTCATACCCTTTGGCGTGGTTGTTGCCACATTTGGTTGTGCACTCAGCGTTCAGTTTGGAATAACGAGGTATGCGAGTAGTATATTGTAAAATTTTAAATAATAAATATAATAAAATGTGTTTTGTTAAGGTTGTGTTTTGCCGCCAGCAGGGAAGGTCAGATGCTGGAAGTATTTTCTTATGTGAGCGTAAAAAATTTAACGCCCGCCCCGGCCGTTGTTTTACAAGTATGAAATGTGTTTATTTAATAAAATGTCATATAATATTCTAATAATGAATCATGAGCAGAACTACGGGGTGTGCCAGAAAAAGTGCACTTTAAGATTTTCTTATGGGCCCACCCTAATGTGACACTCCAGTTCTGCTTATGTTAAACGAATCATACTTTAAAAAAAAAATGTTTTTCTATTTTCAGGGAATACTTACTTTGTTTTGTCTCTTAGCCGGTGACATTTTAAGTCTTATACAGTTTACCGGCTTCTTGGTTTGGATGTTTTACGGAATTTCCATGGTGGCCTTGTTGGTGATACGTTATACAATAAGAGACGTTAAACGTCCGTTCAAAGTAAACACACCTATTGTCGTACTAACGACATTGCTTAAAAATTAAAATTAACGATCACCTCTATGGTGAAAATGACAGTTGATAAAAAAAGAAAAAAAAACAGTTGATACTTTCCCCCATGTCCTAGTATGGACTTTAAAAACAAAAATGTCTATGTATTTGAGGTAAATATATTCTTATGAATATTGATGAAAATATTCATCTTATCGAGTATGAATCAAAACAATATCATATTCAGAGTCCTCAAAGGACTAAAATTTCTCCACGAAAACTATGTGAACGTTTTTGTTTAGCTTTCGATAAATATCTGGGATACCTATTTAATAATGACCGATGTATGATTTATTTAACGCTTCAGACATCAACATGCCATTACTGTTGTGATATGTTGTACTATGACCAAAAGATGTAGTAACACGATATCAGATATAGATTCTATAGTTTTGTACTTATATTTACGACAAAGAAAGTATGTAAAAAACCACGTATCGTTGTTAATTTTTTGCAATTAATAATGTTTGTTTGAGTTTTATGTATGGGATTCGGGTTAGTATTTCTTTGTTGTGGTTTATTATAGGTGCCGATCATCATTCCAATTTTCGTGCTCATCATGTCGGTTATTTTGGTCGTCACGCCCATACTACTTGATCCAAAGCCTGAGTTCCTGATCGCTCTCGGTTTCATCTTGTCGGCGTTTCTTATTTACATTCCGTTTGTGTATCAAAAGCGTAAACTGCAATTTGTCGGTACGTTCCTTTACGCTAGTTTACATATTATCACAGATTAGACAAATTTCATTCATTTGTACTTGATCATATAAATTAAATATACATGTATTAAAAATTATTTGATACAATAATATTATAGTAAAAGGTGTTGTACAATCATTTAATTCCTCGTATGTGGTCACACTGTACTGAGGCAAAATCGAGTTATCAGTAAATACAGAAGTGCACTTTATCTAATCTGTGATAAGATAAAAAATTGAAAATACCAAAATATGTGAAAATGTTTTTTTGATTTCTTAGACACATTAACCAAGTACGTCCAATTATTGATGGATGTCGTTCCGCCCGAACAAGACGAACCGGAAATATCTGAAAAATGTCATGACGAAGCCGCCGAGGATTTATTTATCGAAAGGGTTTAGTCGATATTTGTTAAATACCAACATCTAATTGTTTATATTATAACAGGATTTAAATTCTGATTCGTCAAATGCATAATATTTACAGAGGAGTTTAAATAATTAATTATTTAAGATATTTTTATATACAAACTTCAGTGGCTTATTATTCGATAAACAAAATCTATGACTCTGTGATAATAGGTTTAGATACATAACTATTTAATTGTAAATTTATGTACATTATTACTATCGGTATAAGTATAGAAGTTATGACTTATGTACATATAATAAAGTATAGATTTTTTATTTTTTAAACGATGCATTATTTTTTTCCACATTAACAATTATTAGGATAACCCCAAGAATAAAAATTATGGGAAGAAATAAATATTTAAAAAAAATGATAACTATTGTAAAAAAAAAAAAAAATAGGTATTTTAATACAATTTGCTAAACTTGAATATAATTATTATGATTATTTATTTTAATTTTAATAGAGTGATATCAAATTTGAAATAAATAGAAATGCAAGCATTTTATTATCATAATAAATTATACATTCTTTGGATAAAATGAAATGTTTATAACTGATGTAATTTCCGTAATACATTAATAATGTGAAATAATTTGTTCAAATTATGAAACTCAAAAAACCAAAATCATCAATCATTATTTACAAACTAATTGTATTATATAAGTCTGTACATTACTAATAATTTAAATGGACTACTCTTTTTTATTATTTTTTAAAAATGTCTGTACAGAATAAAATGTGTAATTAGTTTATAAATATTATATTTATAACAAATAAATTACATTTATTTGAATATAGTATGGGCACACATTACAGTTTAATATTTATTTTACTGACAATTATCTTTTTGGAAGCATATCTTTGAACTAAAATAAAGTATAACAAGATACAAGTCAAAACTTTATTATAATCAATATTAATATATAATATTTGATTATTAAGAATAATATTATACATTTTGTCTTACAAAAACGAGTTATATCTCTTTACAAAATTTATCTTTCTCGCACAAGGTAAAGATAGAATTTTAGGTCTTTTGGTATATCGTTGCCGTTTTTTGTTTTAGATTTAGCAGAAAGAAAAATTTGCTTGATAACCAAGGTTTTGGTATGTAGTTAGCGCAACACTTTTTTTAAACGAAATCTATATTTGGGTTCCTTGATTTATTCTTCACGTCTTAACTAATTTTGCACGAAATTTACTGTTGTTTTTGCGCGTCTGATTTGATCGTCTGATCATCTTTTTCTTCCAAGCGTAGATTAATTGTGAACTACCCAAGTAAGTTATATTAGTTTTCTTTTTGGCCGTACTGCTATTTGACAAACGGATTTTTTTCAGACGAATTGTTTTTCTCACGCTTTTGCAAGTTGGACATTTATCCGCTGTCGCTAAAATTGAGCATTTAATATGTCTCAAGTTATTGAGGATATCAATATATCCTATTTTGTCACTGACTAAAGTTACATCATTAAAATCGCCTATTCCTGTACAAACGGTCATTTTAGAAAATTTCTGTAACACTCTACTCAACTCTTGATGATTTTGTATTCTTTTGGGAAACATCAATATTTCAGGGTGTAATGGCGTTTCTAATACAGAAATATGAACTTGCATATCACTTCCTACGAGTAAATTACGTTTAATTACGTATCTGCAAGTGGTTTCGTCACCAATACTACACTTTATCATATCTAATTCCAGGAATGAAATGTGATTTTCAGCATGAATATTGAAACACCACGACTCAGGAATTTTGATTAAATCAAAATTATCGCATAGAATCCGGAAAATGTTTGATCGAGATTCAACTGCATTGACATCATAGTTTAACGCAGCTGTACTTTGATATTGGTTACAAACATTTTCTTGTGTTAAATCTTCTTCTTTAATTTCCTAAAAACAACAAGAGATATTTATCCTCCGGATCTTTACATGTAAAGAAACATTTGCAAATTTTTTTTGTTAGACATACCTTTATGTTTTCCAAAATTGATGTGGGTAAAATATCTTTTTCCCGATTGATAATATTTTCTGCAGTTTCAATTTCTTGATCGTCTCTCTAAAAACAATAAATATTTAAATAAACATTTTCAATTTTACATATTAATATTATTCAATTTCCTATTACGTTTTCCAGGATTGATGATGATGCGACATTTATTTCTACATTTTCCGTATTTGCTGCTGGCAAGGTATTTTCTTTATTACAAACTATAGGTCCTTCGTCCATATGCAATGTAAATAGATGAGGAATGGCATCTTTTGTCAAACGAGGAATTTTGAGCGGTATCTTCAATGATTATAAATTGAAAACATAAAAAAATGAATAGTTAGATATTATTACGTAAAATTAATTTAAAAAATGTGGCATAATAATGCAATGTTAAACTAAGAGAATGAGATGTGAATGTATACTAATGAGATACTTGCAGTTAACTTTCATGTAGTTGTAATACAAACAAATATTAAAAAAATGTTACTATTAAAAAGTGTAATTAAATTTTCTGTCACTTTTGGTAATCACATGTAATCAATATTGTTTATTGTTGATTCAATCGAAATAGTTGTAATAATGCAAAAGAAAATACTTTTAAGAAAATAATTATTGTATTGTATGCGTAAAAAAAAGATAACATTTGGTAGGATATGAAATTGAAAAAAAAAAATGTTTTTCATACATGAATTGATAAAATATTCTTTATGAAATTATCTATTTAATTAGGTTAATAATATTTTTTTGGCATTACGTACTATAGCGTAAATATTTCCTTCCACGTCTCTGTGTTCGGTATATCGAACAATGTCCCCAGGCGAAAAATGTTTCTCGCAAATATGCTGGTAATTATTCAATTTTATGTTGCCCAGAGCACTTTCCCAGGCATTTCGTCTGTTGATACATTTGGGCACTTTAAACACCGATCGCAATTGATTTTTATTTCTATTTGTTCGACAATTTGGCACTGCACAAAATTTAGGCATCGTGAATGTTTTTTTTTTTTCTACATTGCAAATTATTGCTTGCACTTAATAATATTATAATATTAGATTTAAACAAAAATACAAAAGATTCACTCGGGTTCTATTAATTTTATAAATAGTGATTATAACTTATATTTATCCTTATGATAAATGATAATATGAGATTATAAAATAATTGTGCAGCAGCTGATCGATGAACTTTTGTGGCCGCCATATTGGAACAAAATAGTTACCGGGTCTGGGAATTCCCTCTGTTTTTTATTGTACTTTTGGCGACACTGCGGGCATCACGTGTTCAGTAAAGAACTAAAAATGTTATCACGTTATCAGTTATCTGATAAGACTTTTGCGAAACTGAAAACAAAATTGTTAAAATCGTTCGGTTTATTCAATTTAATATTTTTTAATTTATGGCACATTATTTATGATGTTTAACGGTTTGTTTAATAATATTTCATGTCCGCACTTTTACCGGTGTAACAATTTGAGAAATTTTGCCACTTTGCTCGGCAAGAACTCGTCTTCAATATCGGTGTGTTCGCGTCACAGGAGGTTCCTTTTAATAGGTGCACCCATCAGGTATGGATCGTTTGAGAAGAAATCCGAACGACAAAGTAACGTAGAAAAACTGCTTGAAGACGCAACGGTGGCAGAAGAATCGACGGTTGATGGCGATACAGAACAATGGTCGACTTCACCGTATCCGAAAGGTGAGTTTTGATATTGGCCATTAAAAATTACTATCGTGTTGATTCGTTGTTTCACGTGCAGGTGCGTACATTCCCCACGAAAATCAATCGCAAGCACAACACGCACTTCGACCAAAAGTGGACCCCAGGGAGACGTCGATACTAATGTTTCCCGGACAAGGAAGTCAGTGTGTCGGCATGGGAAAAAATTTGCAAGTATTTCCTCAAGTCAAAGATATGTTCGACGTGGCGAGCGAAATATTGAAATACGACTTGTTGAAACTGTGCTTGGAAGGACCGAAGTCTAAGTTGGACTTGACGATCCACAGTCAACCGGCGATCCTCGTGTGTTCGTTAGGCGCTGTTGAAAAGCTTAAAGAAGAACAACCAGGTGCGATTGAGAATTGTATGGCCGCGGCCGGCTACAGCGTCGGCGAATTAGCTGCCTTAACGTTTGCTGGTGTTCTATCGTTTGAACAAGGTAACAACGCTGATACGAGTTATGACGTTATCAAAGTGTATATTTTATTGTTTGATTGATTTTATCGTAGCTATAAAGCTGGTAAAAGTACGGGCTGAAGCAATGCATTATGCGTCTGAAATAGAGCCCGGAGGAATGGCTACCGTTTTTTTAAGACCCGATTCCAAATTGAATTATGCCATGAAAAAGGCCCGAGAATGGTGTCAAGACCGAGGAATCGAAAAACCGGTTTGTCGTATTTCTAATTATCTCAATCCGGACAGTAAAGTGGTCGCCGGACATTTGGAGGTAAATTGTAATTTCATATGTTTAACGATCCGCCTAAACACCGTTAAACAATATTAGTAATGTATGTTATTAAAATAGTATATTAATTAAATTTACGTTTTAGGCCCTCAAGTATTTGGAAGCGAATTTGAAGGAATACAACTTGAGGCGAATGCAACGATTAGATGTTTCCGGAGCGTTTCACACTGAACTCATGCGTCCGGCCGTAGAACCTTTTTACAGAGCGTTACGTAAAATGACCATTAGCGATCCAATGATCGCCGTCCATTCAAACATTGACGGAAAGCGTTATAACAATGCCAGCGAAGTCGTTCGAAAACTTCCAAAACAAATATGCGCACCCGTAAAGTGGGAACAAACCTTACATATTTTGTACGAACGACCTGTCGGATCAAAGTTTCCGGACACGTATGAATGCGGTCCTGGAACTACTCTTAGGAGTCTATTAAAAACTGTCAACTCAAAAGCACATTCTACGAGTACTTCTGTTTTTGTATAATAAATTGTACTAGTATAGCGTTAATATAACATTTTTTTCACTCGTTTATTATTTGTTGTTAATATTAGCCTTCAGTAAAAAAAAAACCATCAAACCATAACGATTTTTGCCGCTTCTTATCTTAGTAGTGTCGGATTGTTTTAATTTTAAAATTACAGGTACTTAAGAAAACTTTAGACCAAGTCAAATGTGTTTTCTGTTGAATGAACTTTCATTTGCATAATATTTAATAACAAATAGTAGGAACAAATTGATTGAGGTTAAAATATTGAACAATGCATCCTAACTATTAGAAAAGGATTAAATTTCACAGGTAATGGTACTAAATTTTTAAACAATCGTAGTCAAAAAACAACAAACATATCGAGCAAAATATTTGTATAAAATTATATTTCCGTCTATATTATAAATCAACTTTTTAAAATTTAAATTCTATAGAAAAAAAAACACTATCGTATAACTTTGTATAATTATCTCATTATATATACAACATAATAACGTAGTAGCTATAAAAATTCAGTTCAACAATATTGAACGTGTAAATAACTAAAAAAAAAAAAAAAATGTGTACAAATCAGTCCTTTAACTTGTGTAATAATAAAATTAATTCGAAAAAAAAAATGTTTGGCTATAATAGATTAGTCATTGTTAATTAATATGACGGTAACTCGAACTCGTCTTGCTCGAGCCTGCGCTTTGACGAGCAACGTAAACACAACAAACAGCGTAAAGCCATTCGCTCAGAATGACCGAATTTACAAACACTTGTCAATCATAATAGTAGTTAAAAATTACAAAAAAAAGAAATAATAGACTATTTAAAAAGTGGAAAGCGTCGATGCCACAATTAATAATTAATTAATTTTTTTTTTTTTTTTTTAAATATAGATCACATATAGTTGATGGCTTTCATGTCTCTGCTCCACCGGAGATGGTCGTGCGTGCGGTCCAAATGTGAGTCGTTGCGCGACACCGGCGAATTGCCCGTACTGTAACCCGACGACGTACGGCCCAACGATGAAGGACTTATGCTGTACGCCGTACCCGGTGGCGCGGCGTGCTTTCCCCGCTTGATGGAGTGTGTATAGTCCCTGGTGCCACGACGCCTCAACGTGAAGTCCCTCTCGCCGGTCACCTGGTACTGTTTCTTCCACTGCACCCAACAGTGTCTGTAGATCGTGTCCACCGGTCCCCAATTCCTGGACGGCTTGACGGTGCTCAGGAATTTCTGTGCAAACAAAAACACCACCGGAAATATTATTATAGCAAACCGCAACGCTGCGTATCGACAGGGTAACAACGCTCTAGGTACCTGGGACACGTTGTAATCTACTTGGGCTGATATCTGCCAGACGGCCAGTCCCAGTATCAGAGACCACGTGAACAGATATATCAACCAGCCGATAACGTACAGCCACATGGAGTCGTGACTGCTGTGTTCGGACAGCGACAGCGGCATGACGAACAGACTCCAGATCTCCAGCACCTGTAATTAAGAAGAGATAACTCTTTATTGGTATTTGTTTTTTGACATATCGGTGTCGGCGGGTGCTTACCGTGAACAAAACGGGGGTGCCGATCCATATGGTTTTCCACAGGAAGCACAGCTTGTAGCCGAGCACGAATTCAAAGTCGTTGGAAAGCGATTCCAGCCCGTAAATCCAAACAAACCCGATCAGCTCCAGAACGGTGGACGTGACCACCATGCGAGCCACCACGTATTCGTCCAGCAGATGAACAGCTTGCAGGTTCTCCTGTGCGACGATAACGAAAATAGCGATAAAAAACTAAAGCAATCACACCACAGTGGGCATCTATCTATCCATGATCGTGTACTTACGGGCAACAGGCACAGGACGCCCACGAGAAAACCTATAAAACAGACCGTGCACGTCAGGATCCACCACTTCCACTTTTCCTTGGTCTCGACGGACAGCCCTACGACGGCCGTGTAGGTGGCCGCGATCTGTGCAAGCACAAGAGTTATTGGTTAATTTTCCTAAGGCGGTTTTCTTGCCGTTGGTCGACACTTACCAAGCTAAGGAATCCGGACAAAAAGACCAAAACGTAGACTAGCGTGGCCCACAAGTTCGAGATCACCCCTTTGGCGGCCATTTCGTACACGAACGTCAGAAACCAGACTTCGGACAGGGCGGCGGTCGGTGACATGACCGCGCCTGCTTTCTGCATGTCGTATATCCACATGGTCACAATGGACACGCTGCAAACGCCTACGATCACACTGGACAGAGTCAGCAACACGGAAGTCCTGTGCACGACACCAAACATGATTACCCGACGGATACAAATTTACAACTTCAACAAAAGACATGTATATACAGCGTGATCAATTTAACGTAAGACACTCAGTTAAAAGTAAATTAAACATAATATACGTTGTCGTTTAAGATTTAAAAGTTGAAAAGCTCTGGCAAAAAATTAAAATATTGTCGTCTGTTATTTGTAAAACAACACAAATTAAAGTATCTGAAAAAACGAGCTTTAAAGTAAACCTAATTTTAACTGAATAAAAAAATTGAGGGGGTGCCAGTTACAAAATATAAAAAAAACAGCTGGGGGTCTATCATAAAAATAGTGAGATTTTTTGCATAACTACTACAATACAATAATCTCTATTTATTTACCAAAAAGGATTGGACTTTGAGTACAGTCGTCCGGCGCACGTGGTGATGTTTCCGAAGCCCAAATGAGTGGTAAACAAAAACTGCACGACCGCGTGGTACCATATCTATAATGTGTAAAAAGGGTAAAAAATAAAAATGTTTAAAAATGAAAATGCGTTTTGGCAGTCAGGTACGCACGTCCAACGTCAAAAGGTGATCCCATCGGATCTCCAACAGTATTTCCAGTCCTCGTCGATCCGCGTTCAGACCTCTTGCCAGCAAAATGGCCAAAGCCACGAAAGTGACAGGCACGACGAGCAACGCCGCCGTCCTATAAGACTTGCTGTTTTTTATCAGACTAAAAAAAAATCATACACAATCGTCGATTAATAAAAAAAAAAAAACCCTACATAAAAATGACTCTCCTAAGAAACGCGGAGGGGGTGGGGGTGGCCTCCCTTTTTAAAGTAAAACTACTAGAAAACACACAAATCTATTATAGGGTTTTTTATACACATTTTGCCATCGCGTTAAGTTAACTCTTGTCATTGTTTTTCTTTGGCCTTTTAAGGAAAATTAAATTGCAGTTTTTAATGGCAACAAGACGAGTAGAGGGTATGCAAATGCAACATCCCAACTTGTCAGTTTACCACAGCTATTGGGCAATATAAAACGGAATGTCGCAAATAACAACACACACACGTGCCAATCGCATCGGCACCCTTGACCGAATAAATAAATTGCAGGTCTCTGATCCGAAGGCTGGCTATCGTAGGTGTTTAAAACAAAACAAAAACGTCATAACAATAAGGAGTATTGTTGAGAGGTCGAGAATCATCGTGCATAACATTAATTATTAATAAGACTCTAAGCCGTCGTTCAATTTGAATCTGATAGAATATTATATTATGCTGTAACGCGGTTCGTTTACCTTAAAACATAGTACGTGCACGTAATACATTATTATATTCGTATAGTATATCATTATAATCGTACCTTATGGCGACCACAATGCATCGTCGTACGATTAGTATGAACGAAAAGTTAGGTTTGTGATTAGATAGGTTTGTTTTTTTGGTTGGTTAGGTTAACCCTTGACTTGGCAAGGGCTAATTTTTAAATATATCAAAAATAATAAAAATAATAGTACTCTTTAGGTTGGTCATGGAAAGTTACATAAAAAATGTATGTATCTTCTGTACTGTATCTTGTAAACATGCAATGTCAAGTTAAGGGTTATGTTGGTTGGTTAAGTTTGGTTAGGTCAGGATAGATTATTACCTTATAGCGACCACGATCCATACGATTAGAATAAACGAAACGTCCATAACGATCCACTGCCAATTCATGTGCGGCGGCATCAGAAACGTCTGCTGAAGACATTCCTCGCCCTTATTAACGATCGAACCCTGCTGCAAAAAAAAAAAAATAAAGACATTGACAACAATGACACCATTTAAGTTGTAGGTATCGCCTAATATAAATGTATTTCAAGTCATCCCAAATAAGATAAGTCCATAAACCGAATTCCTGAACTCCCCTTCTAAGGGTTTTATCTAGTGATGAGTTTTTGGGTATTTTGGTATTGATACCGAGACGGATAACAGATATATTAATTAAACAATATAATATGTTGATGAATTTTTAACAACACCGTACAACGTTGTAATTTTTCTATTGTACTCACATAAAAATTGATCGCATTGCCACACTCCGGAAACGGTATACTTCCGATGATACTGCGAGTCCCGTAGAAAACCGATAACGCCATTATAATCGGATAGTATGCGGCCAACAGCATGGAAGCCAGGACTTTGACAAAACCGACGCCTAAAAGGGGAAAAGATTACTATAATATAACACAATGCGTTTGTCGTCGTGTCGCGTAAAAGATAAAAAATATTGAAATTTCGCACTAACCTTTTAGCAGAGGTACCGCCCGCCATAATTTAGTGGTGCCCTGTTGACAAAATTGGCCGAGGGTGATCTCCAAAAATATCAATGGCACTCCGAACACTAAAGCCACTGCCAGGTATGACACCAAAAACGTACCTGAAAATAAAGTATATTAACACACATATTACTACTATTCGCTTACACCATCATTTAGATATCGACGGTTCGCTAAAGTTTAACGAACCAATAGATTTGCGACACCTCGTTATAATAGCGATTATAGTAATAGATTTAAATGTATGTACCGTACAAAAAACTTCTTAATGGATAATACGATCTGTTGGTCTAACAAATGTACATATTATAACCTATTTAAAATCCTTTTGGTACGAACAATATTATAGTTAATTAACATGTGTAAATAAAATAACCTTTATTTAAACAACTTATTCACAAAATTGTTTTTCGCGCTACATTGTTAATAAGACGTTATTTTTGAATAAACAAGCAAACATATGATATTATATAAAAAAAACAAATATAATCCTAATTTGATCGAAACATTCATGAATTATTTCTAGTCTATTAAATAGGCATATTGCAGAATTAGGTGCAAATCAGATACTAAAATATTAAATAAAATGTGTCTCCTTGTAACTATCTCATCCACACTTATCACTATTAAATCTCTTTCCATTTGTGTTAAAATTTAAAGGGATTTAATTGTGTTAAAATTTGTGTTAAAATTTTACATATTCATGTCAAAAATAGACTAAAAATAAACCGAAAAATTGTCAACGTATTCACCTAATATATTATCTATTCAGTGTACATTTATAACTCAATGCTACGCGCAAGTGTAAAAAAATGTATTATTATTATTATGCCGTCACAACTGCTGTTGCGGTGAGTAGCGCGAACAGAATTTATGGCAGGGATATATTTTTATTTACACTATAGCTGTTAGAAATGTTATTTATTCAATAAGTCACGGACAAACTATTTATGAGACTGTATCTCTCTCTCTCCTAATCGGAGCCTCCGTATTGAATTTTTTTTTTTAACGAATTACGCCGAGTGTCAAGTTTCCGTCTCCACCACACCGGATCACCATACCGAAAATTTTTTTAAAAATTACACTTGGCAAAGGAGTTAAGTTAAATTATTAAGTTTCAAAACTATATCTATATGTATGTATACACTTTTTGTCGGTAGTCGTGTCGTCGGTTGTGTATTCAATATTGACTTTGTCCATTCATCATTGACAAAAACAAAACGCGTGTGTGTCGTTTACAAGGTAATTCGCGTTTTATGGTAATAAATAAATTACTAACGCACAACAGCTCTGGTTTGTGTCGCTCATGTTGTAAAGGTAACGCTAGCAACTGCCTCGCCTTAAGGTATGACCGCGTTTTCAGATCGTGCACAAACAGTCATCGGTTACTATTTACTATATTACACTTTTAAGTTCTAACACTATACCTACAGGTCCCACAGGTGTCATAACTGAATCACTAATTGCACAAAGCGAACATGCAGAGTTGTGCATTATTTGAATAAAAAACGTTAACTATAATAATCTAGACAACATGTTTTTTAAGTAAAAAGACGTCCTCTTCAAGGAGAAACATATCAACAACGAATATTATGTTTTATGGGACCCACCCACTACTGTTCTTAACGGAACATTTCACACTATTCGCCAGATAGTTTATAATTAGAACAAGTGATAAGACATAAGAAAGTGTGATAAGAGCTGATACGGAGGAACAACTGTAAAAACGTTATTGGTCAACAATTAGACAGATTGTCCCACTAAAGGGACGTATCAGTAAATCCAAATTTTACAGCAGACACAAAAACTGTCTAGGCAAAACTGGGAAGGAGCTAGTTGTAAAAATCAATAATATCACTATGCCGCGTTTTCCCTTTAAACTTTTAAAGTACTTTTAGGTTTTAACAATCCCAACATAAGCCAATGTCAATATTTTAAAGCAAACACAGTACTAATATGGTTAATGCTTACCACCACCGTACAGGTACACCATCCGGGGAAGTCTTATGATGTTGGCTAGACTGATCGACAGCGAGATGGTCATGAGGAGCGTGCCAAAACCTTGCAAACATTTTGACTTGCAGCAATATATCTAAAAAACGAAAAAAACATTGTAAACATTTTGATACTCTAAAAAGTAGTGGAAGAAAAATTTTGTGTTAGCTATCGAAAAAATTTACATTATTTTAATTTTGGAGTATTGTTTTATTATGTAATACAATTCAATTGTATAATTTAATACTCGTAAAGTTTCTGATGGAATTTCAGGTATTCGAATTCAAACCAGTTGAACACTTCAACCGAACACCTCTCAAATAAATTATACTCGTAGTCTAATCCCGGCAGAAGTGTTGCGGTGTTATATTAGCTAATAATATACATATGACCGATTTGTACGGTTTGTTGTTTTCATTTTGACAACACATGAGCGGTATTAAAAAAAATAATGAACGTGCGTCTGTGTAATGCAAATTACCACGGTCCCACATTCCGCTCTACCCCTCGTCCATTACTCATTAACATTATTATTAGTGTTACATAAGTCTGCTGTCTGTTAACATTATACTAGCATTGATTTTCACTCGCTAGCAAAACTTTTAACGCTTTATTTCACAAAACAATTTATTGATATAGCCTTGCGATGACGGTTTATCATCTAATTATAGTGCACAATTAAGAAAAGTACAAGGGTTGTCGGATGTAAGAGGCGTTTCAACTGACCTACTTTGTTAAGTAAGTGTATGATAATTAAATTAAATGCATATTAATCGATTTTTAGGATTATAAGAGATAAAAAAAAAGTTATAATTTCTCAACTTCTCGATAGAGGTAAAAAATCGAGTTTTTAATTTTATGTATCAAGAAATAGAAACTTAGTTTAAAAAAGTAAAAGAAAAGATATGTGTATTTTACGTACCTTGTATGGTATAGGTAAGAGTGATTTACTTTCCAAAAATATAGGTACGTCTTGATTATCTTTTAAAAAGTATTACCTAATTTAGTAAAATTAATATTGCATTTAATTTTGTAATCTGATAAATTTCTCATAGACAATTCAGCTATTTTTTGGTTTCATTTACTGTAACCTTGGGTTTTGTGTATACATTGTTTTTAAATGAATGCCACCTAACCGGTTGATGTATACCAGTTGATTAGTAGATGATGGATAAATGTATGATAAAAATGTTTAAAAAAATATATAAGAATCGTGTCTTATTGTTTCACGATTATTTTTTTAGATTCACTATTTTCTTGTGTATAAATTGACAACGCTGGAATTTAATCAATAAATTAAAATGTATATATGATTCTAAATTTGAAAAAGAGAGCCGAGAGTACTCGTCGTATTACACATTTGTCATTCTTTAAATATAGAAGCGAAGTTAATTAAAATGAAGATGGATAGAATCGTCCTAACGCCGTCAGGTAATTGGCAATTGATTATTATCAACTTGCTGTTAATTACCATTTTCATGTTTTCAAACAGAATATGGCTACAGCGACATAGACATTTATCCCATGCATTTCTCGAGGTTCAAAAAAATAACATTTAGAAATTCAAATTTATGTATTTTGAAAAAATACATAAACTTCAAATTTTAATTTTCTAATTGTCACTTTTGATTTCAAACTTTTGCGTATGTCTTTTTTCAGTTGTACAACTTATATAAGATTACTTAATATAACAGAAGAAAAAAAAATAACATTTGTCTAATCTCTGTGGAACACTCTGTATATTAAGTAATTGGATACTTCCTCGGTTTTATTGATCGGATAGATTTGATAATAATTATTCACATAAATGAAAAAAATATATTGCAAATACATAATAATACTCTAATAATAAACATGTATTAGTCATATTTTTGTTGGCTAAATTTTACGATTGAATAAATATAATCGTAAACTGCGCATTATCGTCGTCCAACGTAGGATAGAAGGCTAAACCATGCGTTTTTTAATCGAAGTCAAGTACAATATATTATTAATATGGTTTGTAATTATTACCAATTTTTCGCACGCGTATATTTGTGATGTCAAGGAAAACGCGTACATTTGTTCGTCCAAAAGCGTTTGATTTTTAACGCTTGTATTATTATTATGAAAAACATATAACTGAAAATCAATCAGTCGGATATCTGTACGATGATGTTTATATGCATATTGTTAATACAGAGGACATAATACTATTATATATGTCGCTCTAATGCAACGAGTGTACTGCATATTATAATATATATATATATATATATATATATGTATAGTGTTTGTACTCAACATGAATAAAAAACTATTTATTTCGTGTGGTTTACCGATTTTTTTTTTATTTATAATATGCATTGTGTATCATTAAATTATTTAGACACACGCGTGCAATGTAATTACAATAATTTTATTTGTTTTAAACCCGCAAGTGTTGTTGAAGCGTAAAGTACTCGGTTTTCAATAAACCGCTAACGGCTATATATTTTGGAAAACAATAATATTATGTTCAATGTATATTTTCTAATTTCTATTACTTGTAAAAAAAAACAACAACTATTACTTATTTTATAGGTACAATAAATATAAGTGAATTGAGTATAACTTGAAAACATTAATCACTTTCGATTAATCTCTTCATTGGTAACCTGTAGATGATACAAATATTAAATATCAATAAAAATCCTTGTGAAGCCAAACATGTTTTGTAAAATGTATTTTTAGTGTAAGGTGGGTACAATTAAGGTTTATTGTCTGTCTATAATTTGTTATCGTAATTAACAATATAATTGTTGGGGAAGGGGTGACTTTTTTAATTTTTGTCCTAATAAAGTATCTTTTAGGTACTATTTCTCATCTATAGAGTTGCTATGTGAAAAAATCGATTAAGCCACTTCGAGGATACACTTTATTTGCTACGGTTAAATCTTGGAGCTCTTGAAGATTAACCGATGCACACGTTTCTTAGCCGACCGTTTTGAATTAAATTTTCTCTACAACTATAATTTATATAATTTTTTTAAAATATGTTTTATATTATATATTTGCATCAGCTACTTAAGTGTGAGCCACCCGCAACACGCGCCGTCCGACTTTCCATTTGACAGAGCTCATTCATTATCGTTATTATTTACCGGTTAGTAACTGTACAGCAGAAACGTGATCAATTTCGATAATTTCCTATATTATTAGACTGCACTACAAGAGTGGCATTTCGCTTTTAAACGCAAATCCGGTCTTCGGCTGTACTCGGTATTTCCTATACTTATTTGATAATTTACGTTCAAAAATAATATGCGAAGAAGCAGTAGGTAATCAACAGTAGGAAATCGATCGATAAAAAAAAAAGAAAATTGGAACCGATTACCGACTGGAGTTCATTTTGCATGCATGAAAAGTACAATTTAATGTAAACCCCTTAAATAACGTTAGGATTTCGAAAATTCGGTTGACATTAAAATTATCATCGTAGAAACTCTTAACTCTGATTTACTGGTTTCTATTATGTTGTATTTAACATCTATTCGATCAAGCTAATTTGAAGTACCTATATAATTTATTGATTACAACTGATCGATTGATTACTAGCGAAGGACAGTCCAGGAGTAAATTGGTAAAGTTGTAAATAGTTTCATCGTTTGTTTAGATTAGGCGGAGTGATTGAGACACAAGTGAGGCATATCAAATGATTCTAATGCAATCATTATTCTACAATCATCGATTCACTTATTTCAAATTTTTCTTTTTTCTTTTTATTATGAACTTTTTAGATTTAAAAAAAAAATTGTTTTTTCTACGACGTTTGGCAATACACAACCACAGTGATTTTGGAACGAACAGCTGTATATTATTAATTTTTACCACTTTAGTAGAGGACTCTCTAATTGTGAATAACAATAATAATCCTGTGGATAATTATCCTAGCTTGTACTACACATGATGGATCATCGCCACAAACCGTATGTGTGAAATGTTCAACTGTTTTCACAAGTCGGTTATATGTACACACCGCAAGGTAATATTATGATATTTCAGCTACTACTACTAAACGATGTTCGTGACACAAGACCTGCATAGTATTACCTGTACTGGTTACACGAATGAAAACAAGCCTCCGGCGGCAATTTCGACTCGTATTCGATTTTTACATAATCATCGTATCCTCTACATAATAATATGTAATGTGTATGTTATGCTAGCTCCGGAGGGTTATCGTTGAAGCTTCCGGTAATCGGTAATTTATTTAGCCATTCGCATAACGTAAAGCGGCCCATGTGTGCTGTCCATACTTTATATATATATATATATATATATACCTATATAATATTCTATTATGCGTGATTCACATACGATTCGCTGTCGCCTAGGTATAATGTATAATAACGGAATTCGGAATATTACCGTTGGACCAATTGATAGGCGCAACAAAAAAATAAAATAAATGAAAAACATTGGTCACGCGATACCCGTTTATTTTTCGAATAAAAAATGTTATTTGACGGAACAAACCCGGTCGTATAATAACAACGACAGTGAAAATTCAGTGGGGTCGAGGCATAGTAGGGTTTTCGATCAAAATAATTCTAAAGGCAAGTGATGTGCTAGAAATATAAAATTATAGTTAAGTATAAGGGCAAATACTAATAAAGGGATAGGTGTTGGGTCTAGCTATCTTAATGAGTTTGTTGAAGAACAAACAAATGTTGTACACAAAGTATTAAGAATTAAATAATTTAAAAAAAACATATACTTTATTTTGATAAAATCTTAATTATTATTAATATTATTAATTTATTATTATTAAGCTTGTGTGTTCATTAACCCTTTTCCTCAGGAAGGTTGGAATCTTTTTTTTTGTTGATCTAGTAATAACATACAACCCGGCATCTATGGCCATTAGTTCGGAATCTTTTTATTTAAGGGTTAATGATATTTTCTTTGGTTATCACTATAGTACTATATCTGAAGGTAAGGTTAGGTTAAATTAGGAACGTCATACTCTTAAAAATAATCGTAAAACGTGTTTTTGGAAAAGCGTGTAGGTCAAAGGGAAATCAGTTCTAAAATTTAGTCAAATTTAGCAAAACGTTTTTAAACTACTCTTTTGTT